GTGTTTGGTTGGCGGTTACTTATTGCTTGTCATCCTATCGTGGGACGTAGGATCGTAACACAACCTTTGAGCTAGACAGATTGCCTGTACTACTCATCATTACCCCAAGCTGTTGTTAGGTGTTTCACTCAGGTGACTTACCCTACTGTTCCTTCATGCCTTACTCATCCCCAAGAAACAATTGAAATAGTACTTATGAGCTTTGCTTAAAGTATGATTTCAACACCCAATGACCCCAACCTAACCCCTACCCAACCCCTGGGTACCCCCTACCCATTTGCCAGTCTAGCCTGGTGGCAGTGCTGATCCATCACCACACACACACACACACACACACATGCTATAAGCGTCACCCAGGCACAATTGCCATCTTGAGTAGTTGCTGTAACCTCCTTTTTCTCCTACATATGTCTGCTGAACATGTGTTTGGTCCTAGTGGAGACTTCAACCATGAAGTCCTTCTCATCCATGTTGTATGTGTGCTCAGCATCAATGTTGTATTGGGCAACTTTGGACTGCAACAGGTCAAAATAGAGCTTGTACTTGGTATACAAATTGGCGTTGTGGCAATTGCTGTCCATACCTGTTGAGTATTGAGAAAAGAGATGGATGGAGTGGTTGTTGATGAAGCAGGTAATCCAGCTCTTGCTCACTGGCTCTGTAGCTATTGACAATGCAAAATTTGCTATCATTTCCCTTGTAGGAGGTAGATGGCAAGCTGTAAGCTCCTCTATATACTTGACAAGCTTGTCCTCCTGTTGTGAAGTGAGCTTTTGCTGTACAATTGCCTGCTCTTCACACAATTGTATTTCTCCTTGGTACTTGCATGTCAACGTAGAGTGCGCAACACCATACTTTATGGATAATTGCATCCAAGGGATGTTTTTGCATGGCATCATAGCATCTATCTCTTTAATGGCTTCCTCTAGCATTATTGTGGCGTTGAGTTATGGTGTTGTGAAGTATGGGTGCATAAAGCATCTTGGCGCATTGCGTGAATCCGCGCATTGCGTGCACGGACACGGTATATGGCCGAGCTTACCGTAGTTTCCGTGTCGCGAACGTACATCGTGAACAATGTGGTTCGAAAACACAATGTTTTCGCGATTCCAGCCGCCAACCCGAATCCGAAACTGACTCTGTTTTTGTCATTATTGGTAGCAAACAGGGAATAGCGCCATGCCACCCATGCAAGAAGAGATTGTCGGCCCACTGTGCCTTTCCACCCCGCCTCGCATTCGCTTTACAACAACGACACCATCGAGTGGCTGCATCGAGGGTGACCCAGCCAGATCGCCGGAGAGCGACCTCAAGTGCCACCTAACTGGTCAGTGAAACCTCAATGCCGCGACTAGGCCACAAGAAGAGTCGGCTGGGTTGCCGGCAGTGCAAGGCACGCCACGTGAAGGTGCGTTCATGAAAGCCGCGTCTAGCTGCTAGATGCCCATTCGTTGACGGATCAACAAAAGCACAAACTGATGACCTGACAGTGCGATGAGCTCAAGCCGTGTACTAATTGTGCAAGACACGGTGTACAATGTAGCCTTATAACAGATCCACCGCCTTCCACTCCATCCGCAAGTAGTAGTGTTGCTCCAAAACGTGAGTGTGAGAGCAAATCCTCAAATGAGCGCTCCAAAACTGTAAGTTCGCTCAATCAGGCTGTACAACATGCGACTGAAAGGCTCCTAGGGTTCGTCGACATCGTCACCCTCTCTGCTCATCGACTATGTTCTGAATTCCTCAGCTATGTCGCCTGGGGATGCAGCTTCAGAGGGTAGTTCTCCAAGCTCGCAACCAGATCAGTTCCCGTTCCTGAGGCCATTCATACATAAGCCTGCAACGAACCAGTCAGATCTTTGGGTCCGGGATGTAGAGTTGATGTTTGTAAATCTTGAACGTATCAGGAAAGTAATGCTAAAATGATACAGGCATCACTGGACCATCGAAGCCTATGACGAGTTATCACAAAGAGAAGATATGCGACATACTTGGAGAGTCGATGCTCCGAAGATTGCAGTCACTCATACGTTCTTGATGCACGAGATCCTTGCGTTCGCAGCATTTCACAAAGCATCACAGATTCCTGATAAGCGTCAGGAGTATTACACATTGGGCATCCATCATCAAGATCTTGCCATCAAAGGAATGCGACCGAAGCTTCAAACTATCATCCCAGACGAAGCACCGGCCATCGTTGCCACTTCGACACTTCTCACACTGGGTGTCTTTGCCTCAACAGGGTTCGAGGCCAGCTGTGCTGATATACCCTCATCACCATCCATTATTGATGATATCTTGAACATTTTCTCGCTCATGCAAGGCATGGGGAACGTACTGGCACTTGCACATGCGCATGTGCTCAAGTCGTTTCTTGCTCCTATGTTTCGAGATCCACTGGAATCTACACCGTCGCAACCATTACTCCAGGAACTGATACAGCATGTACCAAGCCTCATCTTGTTCATCGAATCCGAGCCCAACCTATCCGAGTCAGAACGTGCGGGGTTCCTGGGTGCCATCGCTCACTTCGAGCCTGTGCTCAAGCTAGCAAGCCCTCCGCGAGTCGACAACCGAGAGCTGCGATTTCTGTTCTTCTGGCCACTGCACCTCGACGGCAACTTCCTCGCCAGTGTTCGGCAAAGGCATTCGGGAGCACTTGTAATACTGATGTACTACGCTACCATGCTATTCGCTGCGGAGCCACGTTACTGGTTCATGGATGGGTGGGGCTATCGATTGATGAAGGCTTGTTACGATGGTGTCGATAAGAGCTGGCTGCCAGTGTTGCAGTGGCCATTGTCTTTCTTGGAGACAGATCCCACTTACAGCCTTTTCACCAACATCAATCGACTTCCTGGAGGTCTCGGACAGCCACAAGGGCCGCTTGTTCTGCCATACGCACAGCAACCGCCGCAGACAGTTTCTTTCCGTCAGTATTCTGAACCTTCTTCGCGATCACCTCAACACAAAAGCGTATCGACACTGGACCGTAATGGACCATATCCACAGCTTACAGGTCAAATGCCTCCCTCATATGCGCCTCAGATAACGAACGCATCACATCTGCCTCCGATGTCTGATACAGTGCGGAATCAGAACCAATATAGCGATTATAGCAAGCATGCATCCAGCAAACCAACAAATCATACGCATGGGCAAGGTGCAGGCACGGCAGAACATTCGCAGAAACGCGAAGGCTCATAACAAGAGCTCCGCGGTCGCACCTTAGAATAGCCACCTGCACGTGTCCATCACGTGACTCCAGGCGCCGCGCCAACAATTGCACAGCAGAGATATACGTTCAATACTATCTACGAATGACGAAATTCCACTCACTTAATCTTCACCGTAATCGCACACAATCTACATTCGTCTTACGATTCATAGGCACGGCAGCAGGCACGGCAGAAAGTACTCACCACACCGCACTTTAGCCGATGAATGCTGTGTGCTTACATATCAGCCTGCGAGGCTTCCTGTCAGCGGCACCCAACCTCTTTGCTGACCCGACTTGCAGCCTCTAAGACTTTCGATATCAGTATTGATTGCGACACTATTGATGATGTCGCCTTACGCCTCCATGTGACCTTACACGGGATATCCCTGCACTTCATACCTTCACCTCAGTCCAGACCAACTGAGCACTCAAGAAGTGCGAGCAACGTCTGCAGCCACTCGTATACCTCTGTCATGGCTTGGCACTAAAGTTTACAGAGAGCGAAGACCTCGGGTGGTGGACAACACTGGATACAGGCTCTTAGTCGCTAGATTCACGGGAGGCATTGAATGCTGATGCGTGAACCATTTGCAGACTAAGAGCATTCCACAAGGCTGAAACGTTCTTTGCAGATGTTGCAGAGCCTTTGTAATATACCGAAAGCCGCAGCCATGAATTGTCGCCGAGATGTTGTGGTCGGCTTTCTCTACGATGCAAGAGCAAGGCTCCGTACCTGAACAGTCTCCGTGCCTGAACATCTTGACGGAGCAAGTGCACATCTACGGTGAATCTGATCGAATGCGCAGCATTGCCCGTCTAACACTCAGCTCGACTAGCACCTGGTGCCTTACAGCAAGTGCGCATCACGATTTTTCAGCACCAAAGCCATATTCGAAGGGCAAACTTTGCGCATGTACAGCTGCTCAGTGGGCTGAAACCCCACCACACCAATACCATCACTAGACCTCTATCAGAAGTAAAATGTGTGATATTACATCTCGTACTAAAGAGCGTACTATTGGGTATCAAATACTCAATCATAATGTTGATTCGCGCAAAAGCCCCCGAGGGGAACAAGTGTTCAACATGTGCCGACAGCAAATGAGCAATGGATAATAGACATGAACGATAATGCCACTAAGGTGTCTCACACTAATTTTCTTTCTGCCTCATTCGGATAGTGGTCGCCTGGGCTCTCTGGCCCAACGCTCTTGCTCTTCGGGTGTGGGTTGAGAGACGGCGGTACTGTCGCTTGCGATCGTGGTGTCGCTGAGTCCTCGTTGATGTGAAGGGCGTCGTTCTGCAGCAGCCTCTGTGGTGGTTTCGGCCTGCACCTCGTTCTTTGGACCAACAGTTCCAACGGCAGCACCTGTCTCTGCAGACTGTGCGGGCCTGGTGGCGTCTTTCTTGTTGTCTGCAAGCCTCTCATCGATGTTCGTTAATAAAGATGTGTCGCTGGGGCCACGGCTATGCAGCGGGCTGTTCAGTGGACTCACAGCATCGAACTGTGTGCCTGGTGTGTGGAATTGCGCATCGTCGCCAGGTAGCTCAGCAATGGGAGTGCCAGGGGTGTTGTGACCTGACGAAGCACGATCTCTTTGTGCGCCTCTCCTATGAGGCTTGCCAGCCGTGAAGTAATCACGACCACCATCGATGTCGCTTGCGCTCTCTGGTGGAGGGCTGTAGAGCTCAACTGGCGGGCTGTCTGGGGACATTTCACTAATCGGTGGGACGGACTTATGATCGGCCGTGTAGTAGCCAGCGAGCGGGGTTTTGGGAGAGCTTGGGAGGTCGGAGCCAGTGAGTTCGGACACACGTCGATGTTTGATCTCCTGACCGGCCAATGTTGGATCGATCTGCGAAGTTGCATAGTGCTTCTGCCCCACTTCTCGCTTGTTCTTCCGTTTCCTCCACCAGCAAAAGGCAACGATACCAGCAATTGCGAAAGCAACGACAATTCCAACCACGGTGCCAGCAATGGCGCCAGGAGCCAGTCCTCCGTCCGAATCCGGTGTCCCTGCTCCGGGATGGTATGTTGTATTGTAAATGATCTTGAGGTCCTCTTTCGGCAAAGAGTTCGGATTGGAAGCGGGAGCAACCGTGAAGTTGGCTCGTTCATAGTCGACGATGATGTACGCTTCCTGAAGGAAGGTGCGGCCCAAGATGTATACGCCGTCCTTTGATTTCTTGATTGGGAAATAGTTCGTACCATTGGCCCCAGTTTCAGAGAGTTGTAGATCAAATGCGTCGTACGGAAGCTGTATGTTCATGAGATCAGCGCTATTCAAGGGACCCGCTGCGAGCTGGAACGTGACTGTAGCATTTTGCTGTGCATTCCAGTTGTGCGCAGAAGAGTTGACAGTGTAGAAGTTGGTTTCATTGTCGTAAGTGAGGCGAAACTTCTTTTGGAACTCGTCACAGATCCAATCGGGGAGAATCAGATAAGGCAGTGTCGAATCAATGTTGGCACGGAAGCCGCCGGTAGTGTTCGCTGTGAAAGAGTATTGGTTTGCCTCGACGTCTTGATCTGGCCTGTACAATATTGATGGGACTCCGACGACAAGTGTGTTATTCTTGTTGTTCGGCATTGGTAGTGAGAGGCCATCACGCGCCATACGTGATTTGTCGTAACCACCGAGAACCAGGCTACCAGGCACACCGTTGCGGTTGTTACCTGAAGTCGTCAGAGAACATCATAACATAGAAAGTGGCAAAGGAAACAGTCACTCACGATACCAAGCACCAGCCGTGTAGCCGTACGAAGGACTCGCGATAGTTTGGAGATCCTTGAATTGCGACAAGAAAGTTGGTTTGGTTGCGCCTTGCCCGCCCACCTCACCTGCAGCAAGCCCAAAAGAGCCCATAAAGAAGGCGTTGGATGTGTACTTTACAGCGTAAAGTCCTGGATTGACAAGGCTCTGCGCTGAGCTGTGCCCAAGCCCAACGTTCGTGGTCCCCCAAACTCCACGCGGCGTAGAGTTGTAACCCGTGTAGTCGTTTGAGTACCAGTATGGAAGGGGAATGCTTAATATTCCCGCATCCTGCCAATTTTCAGATTCTTGCACGCCCGTGACCTGCTTTCCATTGTATGTAAGTACGCCGTGTTTTGCCGCACAATCTGGGTTGCATTGTTCGTTTGGCGCAGGGAGAAGAGTGAGCGCAGATGATGTAGACACTAAGACCTTGAAGTCCTGCCCGTTCAGTCCTTGGTTGTCGGAGTTGACGTTGATGAGGAAAGTAGACCATTTTCCATCGTTGCCATCGAAATCTCCACTAGTGGGCACAACTTTAGGAAGCGGTATTGTCGTTACATCGACGCGTTTTTGGAGATGCATTATGAGGAGTCTGGCATAACGAGCACAAACGGAATTCGAAGGGCCAGCGCGCAATAACAAGGGTCAAGAACAAGGAGGGGCGCAAATCGCGGAAGGACTAGTACTTATTGACAAGTCGGCCGATACCAGCAACAGCCTCGCGCATAGCATTAATACCAGCTTGGGCTGGTGGCAGGGTTGTGGCCTCACTGTGCGTTAGCGTCACAACGTCAGCGGAATACTGTTTTCGATGTCCAGAGATAGGGCCAGCCGGGTGCTGGAGGCTGCCAAGCCCAACTGCTTTCTTTTGAGCACCGTCCGCGCCACGGGCGGGGTACACTCATCGCACTGCCAGCACGACAGCTTCGTGCGTTTCTACTCGTCGGAATGCCTATATATAACTGGTCCATGTTTACCGCTGAGGGAACGCAGAGTTTGTGGCTGGTTCCAGGCTGACTATTGGAGGAGAAACAAGTAGGGTTGGCCTCGCAGAATCTGGCGTGTTGTGCCCAGACCAGTCTGAATAGGTGTGTGCCAGGGCTGCAGGAAGGGTTGCAGCGATAGCAAGGTGGCTAGGGAAGGAGGATTAGAAGGCGGGCCGGAGAGCGTTGAGTGCTATACTTGGCAGGGACTAGTGGCCGCCTTAATCAGCAGGTCAATGATACGAGATCTAACGGTGCCGCGCTAGCAGGTCCCGCTGGGTTGCACGGACATCAGAGCCATTCGCTGCTTACACTTGAGCCGCACAACATCTAACCGAGGTGCTCAACGCATCAACTGATCGTCACACAACTTCCGTATGTCGCACCCATTGAGCATGCGAACTATGGCGGTGTACTGTAGATCACAGCAAGGCGGGCGGGGCACCTGATGGCAGCGCAAAAGCAACACGATGCCATCGAACTTTTACCAAGATTTGGCCCCCAGTATACCGCGCAGGCCCTTTCACCCTCCATCAGAATCCTTCCTTGCGCTAATGTATACATTCACTGGCGGCCTGCAGCTGTCCAGCACATTGTGGGTAAGTCACTAGCCGCAATCAGCCTTTGGTCGTCAATGCCAGTAATTGCCATGGGCGTGGGGTTTGCGAGCAATATCTAGACCACTGATCTGGATAGTGTGTAGACAGTCTTGGATCTGTCCGACCGTGTGCGCTTAGAGGAGCCGAGTCTTACGCCCGCATTCTGCACCACATCCGATGCTTTCTTGGCCGTACCTCCGCCTCTTGCGCTATCCAACCACCGGCGCTGCTCACCTCTTCCTCATGGCGGTCACGTCTTTGCCTCGAATAGGTCTAGGATGATGCACCGCCTCTCTTCACTGCCTTACGCTTGCATGACTCTTGCTCGGGACCTGGTGTTTACCCATCATGGTAGGTAGGATTGTTGAAGCTCAGGGCCCAGCCCTGCCAGTTCAATGGCACGCTACTGTAAGCTGTGGATTGCTTGCTACCGTCATCCTTCCCTTATAGTCACGGGCTGCTGCTCACTCGCCTTTCTTCTCTCAAGCTTCAGCCTTCAGCCTATCGTTACTCTTGAGGTACGTGATAATTCTCTGCTAAACTCTTGCACAGCCCTTTGGTACCAAGTCAGGTCATATCCACAATGGCAGGTCCTCAATTGTGTGTCTCTAAAACGGGTTCGCCTGTGCTCTGGTCCAAGTTCCCCCAGAGCTAGGGCGCCCTGCATATGAAGATCCTCCACAACTTTCCGTCACCTCACGTGCATGTCTAATCGCCACAGGCTCAGACTGGCACATTCTCTCAGCCGGCATAGCAGTCGCTCCCTTTCAAGATGCGTGGCATTTTGTATCTGCTGGCTTTCGCTGGGGTGGTTGCCGCCCAAGACAATCAGACCGTTCAGGCGCTCAAGGCCCCTCCAAGCCCTTCGACAACAGAGGAGCCACTCTTCTCCGTGGCAGGCGGAGGCGGGTATGGATATCCGACATGTCAAGCCGTGACAAAGACCAAACTAGTCGAGAAGCCGTACACACTGGTTGTCACCTCTTACAAGACTACTACATCTACTTGTTATGAAACAAAAACGAGCACAAAGTTAACTACAACTACCTGCACAGTGGTAAGAATCGGCCCCATCCCCAAATTGTACAGGCATTTCGCCACTCAAGTCCTCAATCGATCTCAATCGCAAGATGCTCGAGCTGACGCGGGTACCAGACCGAAACGACAACAAAGCCAGGCCACAACATCACCACTACCGAAGTAAATATCCGGCGCAATTCATAATAGCCACATGCTGACCCTTCCAGACGGTCTACAAGACCAATTCGGCCTACCTGACCATCACCGGGCCTGCAGTACCTGGGCAGAATCACACAATTACAGAGACCACAGTACGGGCTTCTCAATCCCTTCCTAATCTTGAAAGCTTGCTGATTATCTGTTAGACCTGCACAAGTACTATGACTTCGACCACGGTGCGTTTGCCATTTTTTATTTCAAACAAGATGGCGCTGACGCCTTCAGACCTGCACGACGACACAGACTGTGACTACATCAAAAGATATCACCCTCTCCGGATCGCTCATCTACACCACGGTTCCCGGTCCTACGGTCACATTAAATCAAACTCAGACATACACTACTACTATTATTAGCGTACGTTCTCTCCCTTTCTAATCCCTTCCCTCATTGCGCAGAAAAAGCTGGATGCGATTGTGCAATCCCCAAGCCTGCTCGACGAAGCCAGGCCAGATTCAGCTGAGTATTGAAGGCTGGTAGATTGGCAATGGACTACAGAGTCTCTTACCAACTTCTTTTACTTGCCCAAGATCTGCTGAAGATCTCCAGGCTCTGTTCTAAGAGCTGGGGCTGGCAGATGCTATGTGCGGTCTTTTTCTGTGATATGACAGCCCCTTCGATCTTTGTTAATCATTCATAGCTCGTGCCAACCACGGCAATAGAAACATGGCGCACGACTGATGAAAGGACGATCCACACTACGGACGTAAGCACTTTCCACACAACAGGTGCGCAAGCTCACATTGGAAGCCTCCAGGAGTGCATTTGCTGATTAGACTGTAGACTGGTCGACCTACGTTAGCGTTTCTACTACTACATACACGACCTGTATCACGAGTTTTATTACCACAAGTTATCCAGTCACCATCGACCATACCCAAACAGAATGGCGGACTTCTTATATCGCAACTACGCTGACTCTGACATCGACGGACTATATCTCGGTCACGCAGACGATTGAGACGCCTGGTCCTACGAAGGAGGTGACAAAGACGAAGGAAATCTCAGTTCCCGGCCCCGTTGAGACCGTTCGCGAGACCTATCGCACAACGGAAGTCAGCACCTACAAGACCACAGAAGTTTCGGTGAGCACCGCGACGTACTCGACCTGGTACACCTCCTACATCACGTCCTGGTACACAACCACATACACCGAGCCAGGCACGACATATACGACCGTGGAGACGACTATAATCACTTCTCTCGTGCCCACAACCACAACAGAGCGCTTCTCATACACCGAGACGATCGAGAAGACCATTCAGACGCCTGGTCCCACTCAAACAGTGGAAAAGACTATTGAGACGCCTGGACCGACTTCCGAGAAAACTATTGAGCTCACAATAGTGTCAATTGAGACCCGTTTGAGCGTCGAGACTAGCTATATTACGACCATCAGCATCAGCACCACAACAGATGTACAAACGACTACAACAACATCTTACAGCACCATAATTATCACCACCGAGATTCCGGGGCCTGAGACTACGTATACCTCGTACATCACGAGCTACATTCCTGTGGAGGTTGTCCGAACGACGACCGTGCTATCTTCCTATCCGGTAACCCAGGTTGTACCTGGTCCTACCGTAACGGTGCCTACGACTGAGCGCTTCACCGAGACTCAGCTGAGCGTTCAGACATCGTACGTCACTACAGAGCGTGTGCTTACAACTACCACGACGTCCTACAGCACCGAAACCATCACCACCGAAATTCCAGGCCCCGAAACTACGTATACCTCCTATATCACGACTTCTTTCCCTGTGGAGGTAGTCACAACAACGACCGTGTTATCCTCCTATCCGGTAACTGTGCCCGGCCCGACTCAAACCACGACTGAGCGCACCACGGAAACCCAGACGTCATACTTCACTACTGAGCACGTGGTTACTGAGACCTTTACGAGTACAACGTATATCCCGACAACCTTCACAGAGCCTGCGTCCACGATAACACTTTCCGGAAGCGTTACAACCCTGCCTGCCTCCACTATAACTTCCTTCATAACTTCGACCATCACGAGCGAAATTGTACGAATCACTACTGAACGAGTGCCTATTACAATCCCTACAACAATTCCTGGCCCTACGATCGTCTCCTTGAGCACAGTTTTGATCCCTACAACTTTGGTATCTACTGAAGTAATTTCGACTACCTTTACAACTACAATATCTGGAGAAGTCAGGACGATAACCGACCTCGTGCCTACCACAATCTCAGTAGTTAGCACTTCCACTCAAGTGCTCTCTTTCACTCAAACGATTGAGGGTCCGACCTCTGTGCAGACTATCCCAGGCCCGACTCAGACGCTTGAAGTTACAAGAGTCGAAATATCCGTAGTGACCAGTACCCTCGAACGGACGGTAACGAGCATCTCGACATCCATATCGACTTCGCTCTCGATCATCGTACTCCCTCCTTCAACAAGCGTCATCACCTCAACGTTGCCGGGACTTACGCAGATTGTGACCGTCCAGCTGCCCCCTTCCACGGTTCTCTCGACTATAACGAGTACCTCAATTGTCCCTGCCGTAACGAGTACAATCACATCAACCGTGCCAGGAGCAACCCAGACGTCGATTATTACGCTGCCAGCAAGCACGGTGACTACGAGCTTCCTGTCTACTATCACACTTCCGGGCCAGGTTACCACAAGCACATTGACTCAGCCAGGATCGACGCAAATTGTCACCAGCCAGATTCCAGCCTCCACAATCGTGTCTACTGTGCTCTCCTCAGTCCTAATTACTACGACTGAACTTGTGCCTACAACAGTTCTGCAGACAATAACTCCAGGCATTAGCTCTGCACCCAGCGCGAGCTCTACCAGCCCAGCCTCGACCGACTGCCCGACCGACTGCCATATTGATGTGACAGCGACTCGCTTACAATACCCCGGAGTCGTTGTTGTTGAAACAGTGACTCGGCCTCTTGTCACAGTAGAAGTTTTCTTCGATTCCGCTGGAGTTGATGTGAGCAGTACAACGTATTCCGACCCACTCCCATCTTCCACGCAGACCATCACTTGGGAGTACTCGGGAGTAGCTCTGACGTGGCCGACAACATACGCTGCGTATGCGACGTTCAGTCACATCTCTGTCGAAGCAATCGGTTCGCAGTGTGTTCGTGAAACACTCAGCTTAAATCTGCCCTCGCCGACGGACTATGCGCCTCTTATTGTCGTAGAAAGCGACATTCCAGACCCTTCATACGTGGCACCGACCGTTGTAGATTATCTCAATAGCCTACCTACCGTAACCGCGCAACTAGGTGGCCCGATTGGGGAAGCTTGTGACCCTATTGTTGGAACCCCGGTCGAGGGGAGCACCAGAACTGACGGCAGCACGACTCTCGCGATTACATTCCCTGATGCTGATGAGACGACGACCGTTCGTCGCCCAACACCCGAAAGTGCTGTTACTAGGCCTGCATCCTCAGAGGCCACACCGACACCAGGATCAACGAGCGCTGCACCAACAAGCACGCCATCACCTCAACAGTCCAGCCCTCGTAATACCCCCTCTTCTTCTCCCTCTCCCTCGCCGAGCGCAACGCAGGAACCAAGTAGTGCGACTCAACAGTTCAGCAGTGCGCCTGCAGAACCCATCAGTACTGCCCAGGAGCCGAGCAGCGCGACTCCGGAGCCTTCTCCAAGTGAGTCTTCGCAACCGCCTTCTAGCCAGCTTCCTGCGTCCAGCGGTCCTGTGCCCAGCAGCTCTGCTGTTCCATCGTCAAGTGCCGCATCACCTTCGAGCAGCGCCGCTGACTCCTCAACAGGTCCAGCCTCATCCTCCGCTGCGCCCATTCCCTCTTCCGCATCCACCGCACCTCAATCTTCATCGAGAGCACTAGCGTCGTCTGCTCGTACCTCTAGCCGAACGACCACGAACTCGGACGGTACAGCATCAGGCGTTCGCCCCAGCTCGAGCTTTTCGGAGTTTACTGGTGGCGCACCAGTACCAACAGCCATCGCAGGTTGGCTGATTGGAGCCGCAGGCATTGGCCTGGGCTTGTTCTAGTTTTACGAAGGACTGCAAAGCGCTTCGGTGCTGTTAATGTTTTCACGTAATGATTTCAACCAAGTAATTGATAATGATAAAACATTCCTCCACACATTACGGCCTACTATGCACTTGCAGTTGCGCATCATTTGGTGATTGACAAAGCACATGCAAACACAAAGAATCTCAACTTTGCAGAACAGACACCCTTCAGCTCCTTCCAGCCTCGAGCGCCATTAAACCCAGCCTTCTCATCACTTCACATCACCGCAAGGAACCGCTTGCAACGCACCTTCCTCGTGCATCAATCGACGGTCTGGTACGCGCCCCACTTGGCTCGGCCCGCAGTCCCAACCTCAAACCTAGCCTTGTCAACGTTGCTCCTTCATGTCAGCGTGCGCAAAGCGCGCATTCATCTCACATTGAGTTGTGCACGGTGTATATATATAGGTGGTTGTCTAGGTACAGCAGCAGATATAAATACGAGCCCGTCGTGTCTTCAAGCTTTCCCTTCAGCTCGTCTTTTGCGCGCCACGTTCTCGCTCACGCAGGGACGCCTTGAAATCACGCGAAGCGAGCGAAGCGAGCCAAGCGAGCCAGCAACACGACTTGAGGGTGTGAAGACCCCGGAACTCCTCGGTCAGGGCCTCGTAATTGCTGCTGTGCGGCCCGGCTGTGCGACTTTATCGGTATATGGGTAAGAAGTACGAGTACGAGAAGGCGTTGGTGGCGCGTGGTGGTGACGGAGGTGGGTTTGACAGGCGCACCTGGCGCTTGGATTGGGTTGGTGAGGGGGTGTACGTTCTTGATGTATGTTCTCGGTGCACGTTCGTGTGGGGAGAGTACCTACTATAGAGGGATGGGAGGATAACTGATTGTGATCTTGTGCATGTTCGTCGAGATTGCTTGGAAGCTATGAGCACGTCTGGTTTTGTTGCGTCCTTCGCTGCTGTTCGTGCGTGTTCAGCCTTGCCGCGTCCTTTGCTGGGGTGACCCTTTGGGAGGGCAGTCCTCGCCAAGAAGGCACGACCTTCGGCATCAAAATAACCTGAACACAGCGTTGACGCGCGTTCCATCTCAACAAGTGGTGCTTGTAGGTTCTCAAAGGAACAATGTCAATTTTTAGGTGATAGGTGAGTAGTTGCGGGTCTTGTTCTTGAGGCGAAGTCCTTCCTGGGTATATATTGTACGTCCGAGTCCAAAGTCACAATGCTGTCGTTGGCCATCCACTTAGTCTTATGTGCTTTCCTCCGACTGTCTGCGTCTCCTCAAGATTCCCTCCTCGTACTGACGCAGCAGATTGGACAGCTTTGGAAACTGCACTGGCTTTGTAAGGAACATGTCGACGCCGGCCTTAAAAGCTTCGTCCTCATCCTCTTGGCTGGCCAGACCAGTCAAAGCTATGATGACTGATTCCTTGGCGGCTGGACCACGCTCGTAGCCAGTTTCCATCCTACGGATCTGCCGAGTAGCCTCGAAGCCGTCCATTACAGGCATAGAAAGATCTTAAACTCGCCGTTAGCCTTACGCTCGGATTGAACGATGTAGCAGACGAGATACATACCCATGAAGATCATGTCGAATCCTTCGCTACAATTCTGCGCCGCTTCAACTGCCTCTCTGCCGTGCTTCGCTTGCTTTGTGTCGCGATACCCATTCTTCTTGAAGAACGCCCCTAATAATCTGAGGTTGAGAGCGTTGTCGTCAACGAGGAGAATTCGAAGAACCGGGGAAGGCTTAAGCTGTGGGTCCACTTCCTGATCGATTGGCTTTCTGGCCATTTCCTTGGTTGCAGTAGATTGATCCTCGTTTGTAGGTGCCTTTTTAGGACCCGGAGATGACTTGGACGAATCTGAAGGTGGAGGCGGAGTCTGTGAGGCTTCAGCTATCTGCAGTTTCTCCAAACTGGGCATGTACAGCTCGCTCGATAAGCTCTCTTTGAGTTCTTGCAAGTTTGCTGGTCCTTTCCGGGGCTGAGGCTCTTTCTCAATCTCCTGCCTATCGACACTGGCATTCTCGCCGTATTTCCGGAGCTCGTCTAGTTTTTCAAGGCAAGAAAGCAGGCCTTTTGCCACATTGTTAGGCCCAAGAGGACGTGGTACTCTCTCCCATTTGATGTATCCATCAATGGTGTCCATTCGCTTTCCAAGCCTGCTTGGAACCATTACTATGCTCAAGAGCACACCGTGCTTGCCATAAGCTGGGGCGGTTTCCTTGACCGCCTCTATCATTTCCTCATTCCCTTCATCGACCAAGATAATATCTGGCCTGGCATCCTTTATCGGTTCCAACAGGGTGCAACCATACCAGTCGCAAAGGTAGTTGGTGAGGGATTCGCGGACGAATTTTGGAAAACCGTAGATGACCGCAGACAACTTCCGATCACGGATCGTCTGAATGTTGCTTTCAAACTCCAATGCTGGCTGGCCCTTCTCGTCATCGTTGGTTGTGCAAATCCTCATTGGTACCCTAACCTTGATCTCGGTTCCCTTGTTTTCCTCGCTCTGAACTTGTATCTCGCCGCTGAGTAGTGAAACTAAGCTCTTTACAATTGACATGCCCAAGCCAACCCCATGGGTCGAAGTCGAATCTTCCTGCGTGAATGGAAGAAAAAGCTGGTTATCCATGAACTCTTTGGACATGCCTTTGCCTGTGTCTTGAATAGTGAGGGTAAGGGTGCGCCCTGACGTAATATCATTGCTGCATCTTAGAGGATCCTCGACGACTTTGCTTGCACTTAATGTGACTATCACCGAGCCGCTCTTTGTGTACTTCAGGGCATTGCCAATGAGGTTGACCGCAATTCGCCGGAGAGCGCCCGGCTCTGTGTAGTAATTCCAGTTCTCTTCGTGCTTGATGTTACAGACCACTATGACCTCACTCCCCTGTGAGTTCTGAAAGCTCTTTCCAGCTTCGAGGACACTGAGAATTTCTTCGCATAGCATAGCAAGGTTCGTGCATAGGTAGAGGCCTTCGTAGTCTCTGTCTGGCCCAGAAGCATGGCCTTTTTTGTTAGAGAGTGCCCATACAGTGTCAGGCGGATGTAGCTGACGGTACTTATGTTGGCGCCTTTCGAACTGATTGATCTTTGCGTAACTCAACACGCTGGTGAGCGTCTCATGAAGAGTCGAACCGCAAGTTGTGATCATTTCTGCAAGCGGTTTTTGCATTGAATCAAGTCCAGACTCGCTGAGAAGTTGAACTGCACCAAGGATTCCATGAAGAGGTGTTCCTGCACAGCGATTAGCAGCTGATGTCGCAAGATGTAAGGGAACGAACTCAATTCATGGCTGACAGAGGAAACAAAGGTCTCTTTTTGCTTTGCAAGCGACGAGGCATCGTAGCGCGCAATTTCCGACTCAACGACGTGCAGAAACGCATTCAATGATCCAATGTCGACAGCATCCATAAAAAGAGGAGTTGACTTGGTCCTCCATGCAAAACATGCACCTAGGCGCTTAAGTGAGGTAGGCTCCGTAAGCGGCTTGAACACAAGCTGTCTGATGTTGCTGAAGGACGACGTGAGCCTGCGTGCTTCCTCTGGCAAATCGATCTCTACCAAGGTTTCGTTCTTCACTCGCATAAAGCTTGACTTAGACATATGCCACACCGCACCATGCGGATGACGGTCCATCAGTCTTTGCAGGAAACCTTCGTCGATGTCTCGTAGCCCAAGCGTAGACTGTGATATTCGCACCAGCTTCAACACATCATCGGAACCGGAGATCCCAAGAATCTCAGTAGGTCTTTGAACATAGACGCCTTTCAGGTACTCGGCGCTGGTGTAAATCCTGCTATGAGTGCCGGGTGGATCAGGATCGTGTGGACTGAATGTATCTCCTGGTACATCGGTCCGGTCCTTTGATAGGGACTCCTCCTGTGCAGATGTGTTGTGGTGTGCAAGCGGGCACGCAATTTCTCGTTCAAGCTCTTGCTCTGGTTCAGCAACGGGCTGTACGTCGCCATGAAACCCAAGGAGGCCATCGACGAATAGAACCCCATCTGCCTTAAGAGCAGAACGTAAACATTCGGCGGCCCTGCGAAAAACTTTTCGATACGTCGTCTCGCCTTTTAACAGGCCTCGCTTGTCGTCATTGCCACGTTTGGCTGTCAATGATCTTGCGTCTGTGGCATTGTCGTGTTCAGCAACATGATAATCTCGCTCGATTTCGGCATCGATCAATCTCTGGGACTCTCTCCCTTCCACAGGGGGATTGTCTAGACCTGAAAGCGGATCGTCTGCCAATGTATGAAGATCCACACGCTCAGCTCCACCTGCTTTCATTTTCTGTATCGAGGACTTGCGGCTTGCAGGAGTTCGCGGCTCCTCGAGTAGCTGAATGTGCAGAGCGCGCGATTTGAGGAAGATGTCAAGTTCGTCCTGCATAGCGGTACACCTGTTGTAAAAACCACGTTCTCTTGCAAGTTCGAGTAGATCCATGCATCTGCGCGCTGTATCAGCCAGAAAACCAGCTTCAGATGTCGACAACGGCGGCCTTTCAGTTCGGTTGACAACGCAGATGGCACCAATGTTATGTCCGTTCTTTGAGGTCATAGGAACGCCTGCAAAGAATGACAACTGTGCCGGCTCCGACACTGCTGAAAGGTTGCATGTTCGAGGATCCCGTTGCAGAGCAGGTATACTAAACACTCTTTCGCTTGCTGATCCTGGGTTGACTGCAACGATCTCTCGAAATAGCGAGGCCCACGTTGGTCGATCTTTCTCTCCAACGTGCAGCCATGCACCCTCTCCAGAGTCAAACTCTACTCGGGAAAGGTTGTCGTCCGCATCCACTCTGTGGCCGTCTACGATGAAATGCAAGCGGTTGTCATCAATGAGTACTAAGAATGCCCCCTGCACCGCTGCATGGCCTCGTTAGCACTCCATTTAATCTCCGGGAGCAGTCGCAATACCAAGGCGCACGATTGTGAGCTCGACACGGTCATTCAAAGACCCATGAAGGACTGCATCCCTCGCAAGAAGTGGTTTCTCGTCGACGCGAAAAAGCTGGAGATATCTACACTATACGTAAGCGAAAAACGCGCAAGTAGGACCGCAGAAGTATGCGCGTACTTGCTCAGCTCATATTCAACTTGAGCCTGCTGCAAGGTCGTCATGTCCAGAGGGTTGTCCGAGGGATGCGTCCGCGAAGGGGCAGACTTTCGGCGCTCTGATTTGAGATAGGAAATCAAAGTAACGTGAGATGGGAAGGACTGTGACGTCACCGCCTAAACGAACAGGTTCGACTCAAGGAAAGAATAAGGAATACAGATTCAAAGTGCACGTATATCGGCCGTATAACGTGCATAGAAGGGATAGAGAAGAGGTCTGCAAGTGACTGCGCCAGTAGCCGCCACCTGCTGATCAGCCCTGCGTTCCTGGTCTGGCTGCATTCGGCCGGAGAAGTCTTGCGAGCCTACCAGTGCAGGTTACTTCAAAACCAAGATGGGCCGGTTTCTGAACCACATAACCACTAACCAAATTTCGAAGAATCAAACTTCGCTTCAACTGTTGTCCATCGTGGTTTTTATAGTGATCAGAGCCTGCGCACAACTTCCTGTCAAGGTGTGTTTGACAAGGGAACAGCAAGTGACGGGCGTCCCTCCGCTACATGCGACCTGATCCCTGGCAGGCGTTGTTGAGCATTACACACATCAAGAGACGAAACAGACTTCGGGACAAGACGCGTAGGCTATTGCTTAGGCTGCCGCGATCTCGACGGAATATGAAACACTGACAACCCCAGCGCATCGCAACTCAACTGTTCAACTGGTCTCAACGAGCGCAGAGACTGACCACTCGCGCGTACCGCCTCGCTAGACTCACCAGTGCTTGATCTACGCATCACAGCGTCATGACCCCCGGTTCGGAAACAGTGGCAGCTGTCTTTGCTTCATGCTTCGAACCTCGTCGTCAGCATCGCGGGCGCCTGCCTGACTGCCTCTTCACGGCAGCATGAGAGCCGTTTCTGTCAAGTTTCAACTACAGCGAGGCTACGTGGGTGTCGACGAGTAAGCATGTTCTGTTGTGTGAGTATTTAGAGGCAGTGACCTGTCAAGTGTCAAGTATCTCCATCCAAGTCTCAATTGTTTAGCATCACATCGCAGGCGATCTCTTCGGTTCTCAAGTCTCACATTTACCATACGGCAGGCCCGATATCATACATAACATCCACCATGCGTTCCATCAGCGTCCTTCTCGCAATCCTTTTCGCTTTTGCCACAACCTCCCACGCCTGGCCCAGCGCCGAATTTCCAACCCTCGAAGTTCGCAAGCATGGCGACGGCAACAACACCAGCTCCAACGATCCTGAGCACGCCCTGAAGAAGTCGTGCAAGAAGATGCGCAAATTCACCGCCCTCTCTCAGATTGCAGCCAACCAAACCAAACTCGATGCGTGGGTCGCGGAAGGCAAGCTTGACGCCGCTGAAGTGGATGCTATCAAGGCAAAGGCCGCAAACGCCACTGCAGAGCTGCAGACAATGCAGTCTAACACAACACTCGTCGGCGAATGCGCCATTGTGGATGCCGAGCGCAAGAGCGTCAAGCAGTGCAAGCAGATGAAGAAGTTGACCAAGCTGGCAGCGCTGGCAAGCAACGACACCGCTATGGCCGCTTTCGAGCAAAAGAAGGGCTTGAACGAAACAGGCATTGAGAAGTTGAAGGCGAAGGTTGCAGAGGCAGCAACTAAGTTGCAGGAGATGCAGTCTAACACCACGCTCACGGACTTTTGCATTCAACGACAGCAGCAAAAGGGCAATGGTTAGTCCATCATTACATGGTGCATAGCCTGTATATCTTGATACTAACATGAGCCAGTCTCGGACTCTGATGATACGACTGCAGGCCAGGTTCAGCAGGCCACCGGCGGTGCAGCAGGTCTCACTGCACAGACCATGCCATACGTCCTCGTACCGGCGCTTGCCGCTGTCTTCGCCATGTTCTTCTAAGCCTCATGACGGAAACGCGATCGGTACCGAAAACGGCCGGGTCGACGAGAGCAACAACACGGCACGATTACAACACTGCCGAAGTAGCAGCGATAGCACCCTGCAGCAACAGCAAACTCGTGCTATGAGAACCATCAACGTAGAAGATACCACTGTAGACCAATAGCAAAATTTCACTCACATTCGCTTCCCCTCTTCAAATTGTCTGTGAGCTCAAAACCCTCTGCCTTTCGCCCGCGCCTAAGTTCAACCCACCCAAAACCGCATTTCGTATCGAGACCTGGCGTCGAGCCCTGTGAAGCCAAGCTGACCATAGACTACCGAAGTGCCCACAGTGGGTTTTCGCGCGCCCGATCGGAGAGTGGTCCATGAGTCAAAAGTAGGTTGGCTGGAAAGGGCCGATTGACACGCGCTGTTCCGTTTGCATCATTTGGCAGCAATTCTCGGGCGGGTTTTGCACTCAGACCGGATGCCTGGATTTGGTTGCCTGACAAAGAGTGAGGGTTGAGGTGAATGAATTGACATGGATGCGAACCTCTGAGAGCGTTTTCTTTTTTTTTTCTTTTTTCTTTTTTCTTTTTTCTTTTTTTTTGACCTTTCTTTTTTTTTGAAGTTTGGGGTGCGAGCAAGTTGGTGTGAAGTAAGTCATCATGAAGGCTTTGTGGTATTGGTTCTCAGGTACTCATGAGGCTAGGAACTTGCGCCTCAACGTTCTTCACAAGCTCTCTCGTTTAAATCGCTACACGACTATGTCAGTAGTACTATTTCCTCTGTGTTGCATTTCGTCCTGCGACCATTGGACATCGTTTAACACTGGAATAGCTCATTATCCCAAAGACTATACTGGTTGGCGTACTTGGAAGCCAGGAAAATGTGTGTGTGTGGTTGCTTGTGAGTTGTCTCATATAGCATTGTCTGCTTTTCGCTATGGCAGCTCAGTTACTATGCTGTGCCGGGAAACAAGCTTGCGCGCTCATGGCCCCGTACTTGGGCCATCTATGCTGTGCCTGGTAAGACACCCATGGCTTCCAATTGCTTCTTCGCTCCCCACTGCTTCTCAACTTTGATCTGCTCCAGGATCTTGCCTGCACCCTTCTCGATTAACACCTTTGCGATCTCCTTGCCGAAATCATCGGCTTCCTCTGCAGACCGGACCTTCCGCACTGCCTCGTGCTCGACGAACTCAGTTCCATCCACACTGACGACCAGCGTCTTGAGCACCAGCTCCTGGTCATCGAGATCCGGCTCTGAAACCTCGAGAGCGGCACCGTGCTTGTCGTAGTCCTTCGCTGGCTGTGCGCCGACCGCCAGGCCCTTACCTCCACGCCATGTTGTCTCAACACCAATCGGCACACTGCAGCCTCCCTCGAGTGTACGCAGAAGCGCACGCTCTGCGCCACAGGCTCGCGTTGTGCGCTCGCATCTGATCTTGCTGAGCATGCTCTGCATAACCTCGTCGTCTCTTCTGATCTCAATGCCCAGAGCTCCCTGCCCCACAGCGTGCAGCATGCCGCCGGTGGAGCTTGTGAGTTTCTGGCTGATTCGGTTTGCAAACCCTATCCTGTTCAATCCAGCTGTTGCGAGGATGATAGCGGAGTATTGCGAGTCCTCGGCATCCAGCTTGCCTAACCTGGTTCCAACATTGCCTCGTAGGTCGGCGAACTTCAGATGCGGGTAGAGCTTGCGTAGCTGAGCGGCGCGGCGGACAGAAGACGTACCAATGGTGGCACCTTGAGGCAGTGTGGCGAGCGTCGTTTCTTTGGGTAGACGAGGCGAGATGATGAGGGCGTCGCTGGGATCTTCACGCTCGAGGATGGCGCCGAGAAGGAGGTTGTCAGGGAGGTGAGTAGGCATGTCTGTCCGAATCAGCGGAAGCCACAGCGTATATGCCCAGCGATCATACCCTTCAGACAATGGACAATGATATCCAAGTCACACTTCTCCAGCATGCTCTCTAGCTCGCCCGTCCATAAGCTCTTTGCATTCTCTCCCTGGCTCAATTGCTGCAGGGGGGTGATCTTGTCCCTGTCACCGTGCACCATGACAGGGCAGATCTCAAAGGTCCGGTCTGGGTTGGCATCTTTCAAAGCCTGCTTGACAGCGTTGGCTTGCACCAAAGCAAGTGCGGAATTGCGCGTGCCAATGTTGACTGTGGGGAATTGTGTGCTTGCTGAGGTGTTCAGGCTCTGTGGCGGGGGCTGTGACGAAATCTGGAGATCTGAAGCTGTTGCTGAAGCCATGGCGGCTTGTTTGTGGAAGGAGTGACCGTAGCGAGAGCAAGAGGCGACTGCAGCTGTAGACTTCTTTCCTCGAGCCTCGGTGAGATCGCGGGGCACGTTCGGCAGTTACCGTTCACGTCACAGCCCCACTAATGCCATAGCGCCAGGTACATTTGCATCTCCAGAAACCTCAAGTCAACGAAAGGTCAAGCATCAGCCTCCTCGTCAGTTCGCTTTCGAGCAAGCAAACACGACCGGCTCCTCGTCAGCAGACTTTCAATCGGAACATGACATTCTTGGGGCTTTTGCCACCGACCTCACGGAGTCTCATCCTTCTTCCCACCCAGCCTCTTGACAATGAATGCACCCGTGATCATCCTCAAAGCCAAGTCGCGCTCATGGCTGTCTGACGCTTTTCGGCGGCCAAGAAGAAGCATTGTTATCCTTCCCTGCAGCTGATAGCCGACTGGAACAGCACATATCGACGATTCAACATGGCATTTGTAACCTTTAAAGAGCATGAACCTGTGTTCCTGGACGCACTCGGCGTCTGTCGTGCCCTGCGACAGCAGCCTACGGCATGCAGTCGCGACTCATACCCAGATGATCTTCATCTCTGAACCGGTTTGACTACCACGAAGTTATGATCTGCACTCGGGCATGTGCCGACAGTATGGGAATATATAAATCCATGATCACACCTGCCAGCGTGTTGTAAGTCAGTTCCATCAGGAAGTATACTGGCCAGTAAAGCGTTGGCTTTGGTTTACTTGATGCTTTGATGTTCATGGCTTTATGATTTGTAGACAGGACTATGGTTCTTAAACTGTATTGATATCTTTCCGTGTCCTCGTTCCTCGTCAATGCAGTTCTTGCTCCTCGGCTCAGTCCCATCAACCACCCCCTCGAATCAGTCCACTCTCACACCCTCTTATTTCAGTCCGGCCTCCGCTCCCCCCTCCCTCTCTCAACCCCTCCCCCCCTAACCAAGCAAACTCGCAAGTCCCACCGCCAACCCAATCGCCACAATCTCCACCGTGGCACCCACCCTTGTCGCGCCTTTCGTCTTATTTTTCTCACCTTCTTCCTTGTGCTTCTCCGCTGCTTTTGCGCGCTCGATAGAGGCTATCGTCTCGGGCGGCCAGCCGGAGGGGTATTGCGACTGAGTTGTGGTAGGATGTGTGGAGGGGAGTTCTATCACGGATGCAGTAGGGGACATTTTGGGGTTGGTTGAGGGAATGGTGAGGGGCTCTTGTGGTGTGTTTGTCGCTGGGGAAGCGTGCGGAGGAGCGGAGAGCGGAATCACGTCTCTGGCGTTGTCCGGGTCGAAGCATCTGTGGACTGGGTTCGGAGGGTTTGACAAAGAGGCTTCTTTGCAACATGCTCGAGGGTGTCAGGTATGCCAGCATATCGAGTGCGAAAGCCAGCGAACTTACTGGTATTGTTGGTAGACGAATCTGAAGAGCCGCAGCCTCCTATGTAGTGTGCGGCACCTTGGGTTTTGAACGGGTTGTGCATGTTGTGCTGTTTGTAGGACCGAATGAATTATTGATCGGAGGAAAATGCAGATGAATTGGTAGATTGAAAAAGTGATAATAGTTGGCTTTGGGTATGTTTTTCGTTTGATTTCGCTTGGACTTGTAGTACTGTCTAGTTCCTCTTGACTGTGTTCTATCCAGGTTATATGTGAGGAAGTGGTGATCAACGATGTTGGCTGTGCTTGTATGGCCACAGGGCTGAGGCGCGCCACCAGGTCATGATCTGCACTGGAACGCCTGACGAGCAACACAACTATTCTCGAAACTATGTTGAATCGACTGCACGCTCCTTCACGCATGGCCATGAATGGCCTGCTTTCTATAAACCTTGGAAGCTACTGCGTTGAAGCTTCTATAACGTATGTGTGGCAGTGTCCTCTATTCTTTGATGTCTGTGATAACGCTAGACGTGACGAGGTTGGAGAGGTTAGACTTGTGAACACCCAAATCTGCCTCGTAATGCGCAGCGTACACAGTAGCGGGACGCGCGCTAACTGAGCAACTCCTTGATATCCTCAATCCTCTGCACTCTCTTCTCATCCTCACTCATCATGCCCAAGCTACTCGCACTGTTTCTCATTAGCACCCGGCATTCCTCGAGAACGGTCTCTCGATAGGCAAGACTTACATGAACTTCTTCCTCTCCTGAATCCTCAACATCTTCTCCTCGATACTCCCCTCGACCACAAACCGCACAACCCTCACACTCCCCTCCTGCCCCATCCGATGCACGCGATCAATAGCCTGCGCCTCAACCGCAAAGCTCCACCACGGATCCATCATAAACACATTCCGCGCACACGTCAGATTCAAGCCGACGCCGCCGGCGCGCAGCGAAAGCAGCAAGACATACGGCTTGGGGGACGCAGTGAACTCGGCGAGCACGGTGGCGCGCGTCTTCTGTGCCATGGAACCGTCGAAGCGCAGGAAGGGGATGTGGTCGCGCGTGAGCGCGGGCTCAATCAGGTCGAGGAAGGATGTGAATTGTGAGAAGACCACGGTCTTGCCGCGGGGGTCTGCTTTCCTGTTTTTCTTCAGGTGCGTGAGGAGGGCTTGGGTTTTTGCGCTGCCGCTCAGACCGATGCGGCGTAGACTGATGCGTGGCGTTTGGGTGGCAGGTGGTGCGGCGTCGCTGGCGAAACTGTGCGGCGGTTCGTCGGTGATGTGGTCGTGGCGCACGACTTCGAAGACGTCGCGTGCGTTGATGGGTTCGCGGCAGTTGAAGCAGCGTGGGATCTCGCCTTTGTCGCGCTGGTGGTTGATGTAGTTTAGCAGGCATTCTTTGCATGCCGAGTGCCAGCAGCCGGTTACGGCCTGGTCGACCATGGGCTCTTCGAAACATAGGGGACATTCGGCGTCGGCTTCGTCTTGGATCTGCTTGAGGACGTGAGCGCCGAATTTGTTGACGTCTTGGTCGCTGTCGGCAGTGAAGCGCTCGATTAGACTTGAGAGATCCATATCATCAGCTAGGCCGTTCGCGAGGTCAGACGCCATGTTGCCTTCCAGCTCATCGGCGACGAGATTGGACTTGCGGGTTAGGATGGGATGACAACATGATTGGCGGAGGCGAAGAATCTGGGCGAAAATGGTGGTGTAGTTCTTGAGCAGCATGCCAGACTCAGCGTTCTGTGTAAAGACGCTCTTTGCTCGTAGGTAGATGTGATCGTACACATCCCGCTCGTCTTGGGACAGAACAATGCGCTCGACATCGATGGTTTTTGGCGGTAAGGGCACTAAAGCCTCCCCATCAGGCGTTTTCATGTCTTTGGTTCGACGCAGAACAAGCGGCTCAAGCACTGTCTGCACCACATCGAGAGCCCGGATGAACTCGCCGGCCTCAAACGGTACGGTAATGAACGTTTTCCAGAACGAAAAGTTGCTCCAGGGTTCGACCTTGAGGAAACGCACGAGACTGAAAAGATCCTCAAGTCGGTTGACGATTGGTGTGCCCGTAAGCACCCACCGATGTCTTGCGCTAAGTTCGTAACAAGCTTTGGCAGTCTTCGATTGCCTGTTCTTGATGTAGTGCGCTTCGTCGAGTATGATGCGGAAGTAGTGCAGCGAAAAGATGCCGCCGTGCGAACCTCTGTTGCCATCTTGAGTGGCGACTTGGTTGAATTCAGATAGCACTGTGCCATAACTGGTGATGATCACGTTCGGTGCGTTGGCTGCGTTAGATGCACAACATAGTTTTTGAAGGTTGATGGCCTTGTCAGAGCCATAGTAGACCATAGCTTTCAAAGTGCCTTCCTTGGAAGCCTTTTCAGCCTCGCTATGCCATTGAGCGAGCAATGACATTGGCGCGATGACGAGCGTAGTATATGGCGCCGGCTCGACAGCTGCACTGGCCTTTTGCAGGCGCGGGAGACTTCTCGGTACAGCTGCTTGCTCGTACTGCTCCGGGTAATGCCTATGGGTGTGGATCAAGCTCAGCATCTCGATAGTCTTGCCCAGACCCATCTCATCAGCCAGAATACCGCCCAGACAATTCTGCTCTTGCTTCGGGAACTCGAGAGAGAGCTCGCCAGAGTACGGATTGACGTAGAACATGCACTGGTCTTCGATGATGGGTAGGTCTTGGTTATCGGCATCTTTCTTAGGCCACTGATACTCCTCCCATAGCGGATGCATAGAAACTTCCTTGCCGGCAAGTGATTCGTCTTTCTCTTTCCCAACCATCCAGTGCAGCGCCTGCTTCTGGTACTTTCGAAGGTCCATAACGAATGTGTCTGCAGGTTCCATTGTAGGCGTGTCGAAATCGAAAGATTGTGCTTTCTTGTACAACGAGTCCAGCTGGTCTTGTTCGAGCTCTGCGCCCTCCTCAGCTTCCTCACCCGGCGGCGAAGACGTCCCGTCTGCAGATGTCCCATTCTTAGCCTTTGGCTTCTCGTCCTTTTTCTCAGCACTCTCTGCTGCCTGCAGAAGACCTTGTCGCTTGTGCTTCTCTGTGCTCTCATTCTGACGTGATGGGTGCAGGTTGATGGACTCGAAGAGCTTCACGAGACCCACCTGACGCATCCTCAAATCACGCTCGTCCGAGGTTTCCTTCTCCTCGAATATGCTGACTTCTCGGTTGTCTTCCGGCTTCGTAAAATTCCTCTTGTCGAAAGCGCTGCGCAAAAAGTAGCCGTGTAGTTGTAGGTATATGGTATCGCTTGTACGTATTTTGTCCGGCACGTACACGCAGTTGCCCTCGAATGTGCACACTTTCTGGTCGATCAGGGCCGAGATCCAGGCTGCAGAGTCGTTCTCTAGTCTCCCCACTTCTTGCCCTCTTTCGTTGGTGAATCTGACCACGATGTCCTGCTTCTTGAGAGCGACCACACGCTTCTTCCCCTTCGGCTGCATCTTGAAGCGCTCAATGGTGACCTTCTCGTTGTGCTTGAGCAGTCCCGTCCCACTTGTCGTCGCCCAGCCGACCACTCCAAGTGACCCAATATACCGTTTCGACGGCATGTCCCTGAGTATTGGCGCCATTGGCGTCGAGGTGCCGGAGTCTTGCGATGCGACGGGACCTTCGGACTCGGTGCGCTTGAGTGAAGTCGCGATTGTGGTCTGGACGGCTGGAGGACGTGGTTGGAAGATAGCGGCGGGCGTAGGAGCAGGGGCAGAGGCCCAAGAGCCGTCCAGATAGAGATTGATTGCTGTGATGCATGAGCTCACTACCTGGAGTCTGCCTTGTAGCAACACCTACCTCGTTCCACATTGCTGCTGCTGACATGCTTCAACTTCTGCAACGTAGCGTATGGCAGCTCGCCAACGACTGCCTGGAGCATGCCAACATCAAACCCGTCCAATGTTGCTGCATCGTCACCACCGTTTCTTTCGTCCCGTGTATGTGTTGGGCTCGAAGGTGCCTGTGGCGGGGACGGCGGAGGTGGGTTGGAGAGTGCTGATCGTATTTGGGCTGGAGATGAGTCTTCGGCGAAGAAACGGCGCTTCTTTGCTGGTCGCTCGTCTGGGTGAGGGCTCTCCATTGGTGTCGTGGAAACCAAAGCAGCGAGATCATGGCGTTCCAATGCGCCAAATGGACATGCACTTTACGCGACTTGCCACGCGACTTGCCACGCGACTCGCCACACGACGCGCTTTCACGCTAAAGCGATCTGCATGACGGCGTCATCGGCGAATTGCCATTCGCTCGTTGCAGCTTACCGAAGCATCTTTTGGCCGCTTTTGGGCTCTTTTGTAATTGTTCGTGTGCATTGCCCGCCCTGTTCAAAACCAGGGCGTTGTTCAACTTTTGATCGTCAGTGCCATTTCCCCTGCTCCTTGAGAAGGGCCCCTGGAAGAGTTTCAATGCCAACTGCAAAGCTCCGAGCAGCCCCCGTACGGCGCATACACACAATCTCCACGCCCCAGCGACGGCGCATCCAAACATCGCAATGCTTCACCGACGCACCGCGCCCCTCGCAAGCTGAGGTAGCCCGGGCAAGAGCCTACTGCGCCAACCTCGTCCGGACATACGACACGCCCTCACACGTCCTCCAATCCTTCATTCCCCAGTCCTCCCGCGATGCCTACCTCGCCATCCGCGCTTTCAACGTCGACGTCGCCCGCGTGGCCGACACCACCAGCACACCCACCATCGGCATGATGCGCATGCAGTTCTGGCGCGACGCCGTCACAAAAGCACTGTCCGGCTCGCCGCCCAAAGAACCCGTCGCGATCCTGCTCGCCCACGCCGCCGAAGACCTGCACGCCCGCACCAACGGACGCAGTCGCATGAGCAAGAACTGGTTCCACCGCATCATCAATGCGCGCGAGCAGTATCTGGGGAATCCACCCTATCCGACTCTCCAGCTCCTCGAGAGCTACGCCGAGAACACGTATTCGACGCTGCTGTATCTGACGCTGAGCAGCCTGCCGCAAGCCAGTATAACGACCGACCACATCGCCAGCCACATCGGTAAAGCGACCGGCATTGCTGCCGTGCTGCGCGGCGTCCCGCTGATTGCGTTTCCGCAGCCCCAACCAGGCGGGACGGCCGGGCACATAACGGGGCAAAGCGGGCCGGCGCAGGGCGCGGTGCTGTTGCCGCTGGATGTCATGGCCGAGGCGAATCTGCAGGAGGAGCACGTGTTCCGTATGGGCGGCGAAGCGCCGGGCTTGAAAGACGCTGTTTTCGCAGTTGCGACGCGGGCGAACGACCACTTGATTACCGCACGCGAGATGCTGGCTAAACTAAGATCGGAGGGGACGCTGGGGCATGAGTTTGAGCATCAGGGTGATGAGGAGCATCAGTATGGCGCCGAGCAACTGAGCGCGGGGAAGGAACAGCAGCTGAACGAGGTAGAGCAGGCGTTCGGCGTGTTCATGTCGAGCATCAGCACGCAGTCGTGGCTCGATCGGCTGCAGAAGGCGGACTTTGACTTGTTTGATCCCAGTCTGAGGAAGAATGACTGGAAGCTGCCTGCGAAAGCGTACTGGGCGTACACGCGGCGGAAACTATGAGGCGGCAAAGATCAAACGATAATATTCGTCTCTTCTCAGGTCGTAATCACGAACGCCGCTGTTGATATGCCTGTGCTATGCCTGTGCTATGCTGTGCTATGCCTGTGCTATGTTACCTTCCACTCCCTCCTTCCCCCAAGTACGTTCGGCTCCAGCTTCAGCTCATCAGCCCCTGGACCTGCTCCCCACTCAGTGTCGTCTTCGCAGCCGGCCTCTCCTTCTTCTTCTTTGCGCCCGTCGCTTTTGACCTACTCGTCTGACCAGGCCTTTGCGACTCAGCGCTCTGCGCCTCCATAGCAGCTTCATGCTCGATGTTCTTCACCGCCCGACTAATCGCCATACTATACCCGCCAATCCACTCGCCCCAGCTCTGCTTACCACCCCCTCCTTCCTCTACCGCAGAAACCTCCATCGACGCTGGAGGAGCTTTTGATGGCGCCTTTGCTTTCGCCTTTGCAGTTGGCGGCGGTCCAGCATCCTCCCGCGCATTCCTCAGCGCCTGGTTCGCTCTTCGCTGATCGAGGAACGAACGCGCGACGTTCTGCGCCGCGCTCACACCGCTCTGAATCGTCTTGACATCCTCGGGGTTCAGGTTCGCGGGGAGCGGAATCCTATAACTGCCTGAGAGAGTGACTTGTCTGTCACTGCCGACGCTCACGCCAGGCCTGTCTCTCGGTATCTCTTCCACATATTCCGTATCTTCGGACGCTGAGCGGCGCGCGCGGGGCCTCGATTGTGCGGTGGGATTGTACAGAGCGAGATCCTGCCTCGCAACCTCAAGCTCGCTCTCCAGCCTAACCAGCTCTTCATCTGCGTCCTCATCATCTAGCTCTGTAACCTGGGCTTGTTGGTCTTCTTTCTGGCGCGAGAGGTTGCCGAGTGTGGCTGTTGTTGTCGTGCTCGAATTCTTCCTTCCCTTGCCCCTGCGGCGTGGAGACCGTGGTGCAGCACTCCCAGCCGATGGCGTGGATTTGTATAGATCCTCGACCTTCGCTTCGAGCCCTCTGACGCGCGACTTCAGCGCTTCGAGTTCGGCGGCTTCGTTCGATAGACTCGATGTAAGAGCGGTAGGTGTGGATGTCGGTTCCTTGTTGAGTTTGCGGGGTTTGCGTTTCGGCGGTGCATCTTTAGATTGGTCTTTGGGTTGACTCGGTGACGACTTCTTTGCAGCTTCTTTCTCGAGGACGACGCCGCCTGCTGAGCCTGGGCGGCCTGCGGTTGTTGGATCTGGATTTGCGGCTTTACGAGAGCGAGATTGTTTTGCTAGTGCGGTTGATGGGTCGGGTGATTGGGGCTTTGTTGACATTTTTGGAGCTTATGTGGATCTGTACAAGACAGAGTCCACTGGAGTGACTGTTGTGTGTTTCAGGATCCAGAGGTTTCTAAAGCTTGCTCGCTGCTGGAATGCGTGGAAATTCGAGTCGTGGAGCAGAACTAGAATGATTGATGCTAATTGATCTTGCAATATGAAATAATAGAAAGAATCGAGACATGAAAGAATGAAGAAAAGTGTAGAGTTGGACGCACCAAAGCAAGATATCGAGGTTGGACAGACTGACGTATGAGGGGTGGCTGAACAGGGGATCAACCCTGTCAAGCCACTGGCGCGGGAACGGATCGACGTCAACGGTGATCACCAAACGTCCAAATTCCAGACTATGACTATCCGCGGTTGTACTGAACCCTTTGACTGCATGTTATGTCCATTATAGAGGTTAGCAGTCGATTAGCAGACCCACAACAATTGAGCAGAGCTGATAAAGACCAAGTTTGAAGTGGAGAACTCAATCGTCAATCTAACCTGCAAATAAATACATGCCCAAGCCCTCATGTCGTCTATGGAAAAGGTACATTATCGTCACGACATTGACCTCGTAAGCGGGATGGGAGGCATCCCATGTTTTGGTGTGTTCGGAGAAGGTATTCGAGAAGATGGCAAGTCCAAGATTTTCGAAGCCTAGATGGGCGGACAAGATGATGCTGCGATTGGGAAACCGTAACTTTTGGAGGACGGAAAGGAAACAGGGTGACGGGCATGCTCGGGTATCGTGAGCGACATGGACCGGTGAAGGTGCAGCTGGAGAGCCATCAGTCTAACCAAGCGGACGAACGCCTTGCATCCCGGCTTGAACGCAAGGCAGAGGCAGTACACTTGAAAGACAGCCAACAAGACACAGCTGCTCAGAATGAACAGATATCAAAACCCTTTGAGAATGACTCCGCCACGCCGGTGAAATGCGCGACGTTGCTATTTTCCTGGAACGCAAAAAGGAACAAGCCACCAAATCACCATCCTAATCTGGATGAGATGATTTACGAGGCAATGGCACGGGCAGGAGCGCCTCCACGACGGTTGTTGCGGGCGTTCTTGGGGGCCTTGGTGACAGTGCTCCAGCCATCGTCGTCCATGGTCTCGGTTGTGGTGGCAGGGGCGGCAGGTGTGCTGGACTTGCGTCTCCAGGATCCTCCGTCCTTGGGGGCAACAACAGGCTCCTGGGGCTTGACGTCCTTGTCGCCAGCAATCTCGCCGTTGGCAGTCTCGTCCTGGGCCTCAGCCTCTGGGTTCTCAACAGTCTTGGGGACTTCATCACCCTTGGACTCCTCGGTGGACTTTGCGGACGCAGCCTCCTTAGCGGCGGCCTCCTTGACCTTCTTCTCCTCGCGGGCCTTCTCGTCAGCCTCCTTCTTCTGCTGGGCGGCCTGCTTCTGCTTCTCCTCAACCTCCCTCTCGCGGGCAGCTGTGTCAATAGGACGGGCGGCACCAAAGGGGTTTGGCTTGTCGGAGGGAGTCGCAAGCGAGGCAGCGGGCGCCTCAGAGACTGTTCGCTTGGCGAGGTTCAGCTTAGGACGGCTGGCAAGAGGAGCGGGAGATGAGGGCGTGCTGGCGTCGGGGGTTCCAGTAGGCGATGTGACGTCGGTGCGCATCTTGGACCTCCACTGGTTGTCCTGTTCTGCGGCAGTGGGCTGCCTCTCGTACTGCGGCTTGCCCTCGGCAGGCTGGAACTCGCGGCGTGGAGGTCCACGCTCGCCTTCTGGGCGACCCTCACCCCATGCTGGGGACTGCCTCTCACGGAATCCACCTTCGCGGGGCTCGCGGGGGCCGTCGAAGCGCCTACCGCCTTCTCTTGGTGCCTCGGTGGAGGGAGAAAGAGGGCCCTTGCGCTCCCAGTTACCGAAGTCGCGTGACTTGCCGTCACTCTCGAAGGCGGGACGCCTGCGCTCGCCGCGGTCGCTGCCGGCATCGGATGCACCAGCATCGAACCCACGGCTGCTGTAGCCGCGCTCGGGGCCACGGCGCTGGTTAGGGAGGTCGGGGAGGGGGCCCTTGCGAGACCAGTCGGAAATGTCCCTGGCTTCAGGGCGGTCCTTGGCTGCCATGTTGTCAGTGCATGTCTTGCTAGACCTCAGGGTGATACATACGGGGCTCGGCAACGCTGACCCGGACATTTCGGCCCTGGAACTGTGTGCCGGACAGGTCAAGAGCCTTCTTCAGGCCATCGAGCGTGCCAAACTCCACATAGCCGAATCCCTTGGGCTTGCGGTCCAGCTTGTCCTCGACGATGCGCACGCTGGTGACCTCGCATCCAGCGAAGAAGTCGTTGACGTCACCCTCGGTAGCGTCGAAGGAGAGGTTGCCCAGATGGGCAGTGTACGGGGGCTTCGAGGGGAGAGGGAGCTGCTCGCGGGTAGCGAAGCCGCGGTCGGCTGTGAGACACTGTTAGCGTGCGCATACAACAAAAGACGCAGAGCCTCGACATACCGAAGCTGCCAGCGCGGTCCGCGCCGAATCCGCCGCCAGAGCCGTAAGAAGGCCTGTCGCTGGCGCCGCCGTAGCTGGCGCCGCCAAAGCCACCACCACCTAGCGCCGTGTGAGCATGCAATCTGTTGAGAAATATCGAGTCGCAAGAGACGGTCGGGCAAAGTTACCTGCGCCTGTGGCATGTCAGTACAATCGTGCCAGCAAACTGTTGCAAGGCGTTACTCACGGGGCATTGGCGCGTCCTCCATCTCGTCAGCCCATGATCCCAGAGCTACACTTTGGTCAGCCGTCTGCGCGCTCAATATGGAGCCGGTGGCGCCTACATTGGTCGCCTAGGAAGTCTCCCAGGGACATCTTCTCCGCCTTCTTGTTCTTGGGCGCTGCGCAATGCCGTCAGCCATGTTTGCTGCAATTTGAAGCCGTACAGAGCGGGGCAAAAAAGCCGCCGCACCGGACACTGCCTGCCGTTTCCGTGGGGGGGCCGTACCCATGATTGCGGTTTGCCGTCAACGCGCAGTGAGTATCTGCGCGCTGTCCGAAAGTGTATGAGAGCGGGGTCTGCTCTCAAAAGTCGTCGTGGGGTGGTTGTGGTGTCGTTGGTTCGCGGCTGGCGATCCACCCAAAGCACTCGAGCCGGGAAATCTGCAAGTGCGGTTCTGCAATTTTAGGGACGTCTGTGCGCCCGCAGCCTTGACATCACTCTATCCCTCTATCCCTCTTGCCGAGAACGACAAACCCCATCGTTCAGCTGCGCCAAACATCGTCCATGGGAGAGCCATGAAGCCGTCGCACGACCCCGGACAGGTCACCAATCCTCTCGATGTGATCAAGCAGGCCGCGGGGATCGGGGGGCTCACTGGTATGCATACAATTTTGTACCGTTCTGCGTTGTCTCTTCTTCTTCTTTTTTCTTTTTTTTTTTGAACTCAACACCTTCATCTCAAGAAAGATGTCTTCAATTCGAAAGATATGAGTAATTGCAGCGCATCTTGCAAAAAAATCTCAAGGCTGCTTTCAGTCCATTTTCTTTCTAGCTTTTGGCATATGTACCATCTCGGCAAGACATGTGACACCCTTTCCCACGTTGTACTACGATCTTAGAGCCACCGATTCTCGTTCATCGCTGCGTGTTCACTATTGCTCTGTTGTTCGTTGGCGATTCACTTGCAACAATCTTCTAACAGCTCCCAGCCATCCCCGGAACTGCAATTGGCGCCTTCTCTGGAACACTTCGGACCCAAACCCCAGTTCTCTTCGCCATCGCCTCCGGCGTGCAATGCTTCGCCCTCGGTAGCACCTTCTGGACCGCTCGAACAGCGATTCTCAATTCAGATGGCCTCCTGAACTGGTGGAACGCCACCCGTGGTGTACCTCTACACCCTCGTAGTGACCTGAAACCCACACGCTCGGAGAAAGTCCGCGCATCTACCATAGCCGGCGCCTTTACTGGACTCAGTCTCGGTCTGCTCTTCCGGGGACCGCGCAATGCCCTTCCAGGTACCTTTATGTTCAGTATCTTCGGTTATGCAGGCCAGAATGGCTACAACTTCCTCGACAAGAAGAACACCGAAGAGATTGAGGAGGATGCTCGAATGGCTGCTCGGGGAGAGAAGAAAAAGAACTTCATGGAGCGGATTGCGGAGATGAAGTGGAGTCCTATGGAGGTTTTGACAGACGAGCGGTACGAGGAGATGCTGCAAGAGAAGCTGTTGAAGCTGGAGGCCGAGATTGCGATCATTGATGACAAGATCGAGGGTTTCAGACAGAAGGCAAAGGAGATAGCAGTCAAAAGGGCACAGGAGCAGGCGCAAGCACAACTACAGGTGGAACAACCACCAAAGGCGTAAGGCAGGACAGTGTAAGCTATGCTCTCATAAGCCTTCTTCACACCCACGGATCTCTTAAATTTATATTCTCTTGTAAGATACGTGTATGCAACGAGCCGGCATCCAGCGTCTTATGGCCTTGCCTGAAGGCCGTCAATGATTCATCAGTTCAACATCACTTTATCTTCCTGGACCTCCGTACGGGTGCTCCTTATATTGTGTCAGTCACTCAAACTTAGTCTATTTTCTATCTGATTCTCGGGTCCTATTTTCGCATGTAGCTGGAGAGAATCGTCTTAACACAAAAGCGCAGACAGCAACCTTGAGGGCCGCCCTCTTGCTGTTATTGTTGTGGGATGTGACAGATACAAAGCGCAACTGCCGTTATCGAGTGCAACGACAACAAGAGCAGCTGTACGGTCACTTCGGTCACCCGTCCAGGAACCGGCCTACTACACGCCTTGCAACGCCATATGATCGCCGTATGCAAGCTACCTAATAGTATGGCTTGCCTCACCTCGCATACCTTCACATCACCGGCACCGGCTCAACGCACACAACACCTTCGCGTCGCCCAAATTTTGCCACAACAAACGGCTATCACCAGCATCACCAGCGTCGTCCAACGCCGCCATCCCACATCTCTTGCTATATATTACTCAAATTTGGTCGCTTTCTCATCAACAGAACAATCAGGCATACTGGAGATGCGTCATCACTGCGGTTCAGTTCATTTATGTCAACTTCCCTCCGTTAGCTGAGGCATTCAAACCTGCCTGTTTTCAAAACCCACCAGCATCACCGAGAACTTGCGTTAGCACCCTATTAATAACAAGTTGCTAGACGTTGGTGTCCGTTGAACGGAAAACCCATCCACAAGCCAAGCGACCAGGATGGTTTACGTCGCGCTCCGAACCTTCTCGCCCTTGGAAAGGTAGTGAGAGTGGATTAGCATCGTGCTTTTTTGTTGTTGGGGTATTCTTTGTGCATGTTTTTGTTGGTGAAACCCGCGTGTAGTAGGCCCGCCTTCACTTACTACCGCTTCAGCGTCGCGAGCAACGACAGCAACGCGCCCAGGTACTTTAAAGACAGCCTTGCACCCTTTTCAATTGTGCAGTAGCAAAACAGAAGCACACAAAAATAAAAAGATAGTATGTTGTTTAGAGTTTCTCTCGCAATAATAATACCAACCAAATATCTCGTATGACTCCCAGCTTCGTGATCACAGCTAGAATGCACAATTTGCACCTCTACACCGCCCGTGTAACTACTCCAGCATCTAATACCATGTTTCACAACCTCGCCACTTCGACACTCGGCACGAGCACGTTCACATGTACGCATCTGCAGGCAACCGCACCGCCACACCTCGCCTAAATCGTTCTCATCTCCGTCCCCAACATCAATCCACGAACCCACTCAATCTCCACCATCACTCAATAACAAGTTTGCTTGCAACACGGCACACAAGGCAGCGACGCGAACACATAGCACGTGCCGCTATCACGCTAACGCGCTGTCACATGAGCAACTCTTACCAATCAGCGTCGCCACAGCGCTCAGCGGCAACGGCCGAGGCGACAAAAGCTGCGAACGAGTATGACTCCTCGGTGCATGCAGAAATAGCTTGTGCAAACTACTGCAATTCTCTGGTGAGGAGGTGTTGTTGGGAGGTGAAGCGAATAGCTCGGTGGAGGCGAGAAGACAAATGAGGGAGAAGGTAATGGCAACGCCGGAGTCCGCGGCTGCTGGCGGAGAGGCTGATTACTTACAGCCTAGAGGTACCTTCCAAACTCCGACGGACAAGTCTCTCAACCTACAACTGTTCCGAGCGGGCCGTCGTACGAAGCTGGCCTTGGATGCGATTCGTTTGTGGCTTGCACGCAGCGCCACATGCACCTTCTCGAGCGTTTCGCTCGTACATGTGCGATCTAATAATCGTGATGACTGCAGACGGCACAAATGACTCGCATGAACGACTTGTAAGCAGAGCTATAAGGTACGGATTTAGGCAGCCGGCGCGCCCTCAGGTCAGGCATCCGAGCAGGAAAGGAAGGTACCTTAGGCACGAAGGGCGCAAAGCGGAGACGCACGCCGGGCACACTTGGGGGCTAAAAGGTAATCACAACCTCACTCGAGCCCACCGTGCGGAGCAGGTATCTCAAAGGGTACATTTTTTTGGTAGTTTTGTCTATGTATAGGTTTACTCTCCAATTACTAGTACAATACAGTGTTGTCTTTGATTTATCAGCATCAAGCTGTCGTTCTGAGTGAGCACAGTATTCGCGTCCATCTATCCCCCGTCATCTCTCGTGAGCACATGTTCCAGCCATGCTGACAATAAATACAAGTATAGGGTTGAAGAGCAGTCAGACGCTCAATAGTATGTACAGCGAGCGTCATCCTGCCAGAGGGGAAAGTGAGTCGTAATTTGTGAGTGCCAATAACCATGCTATGCAGTTTGAGATGTCCGTCCCAGTCCAAGTACCATTAACCATACTCCTGCAGCTGTAATGCATTAAAAGATGACAAGTAAAGATTATCTCAATCGATGTGGGTATATCCCATTCATTCTGTGTTGAAACCCCGAGATGTGAGTGGCTACCTGCGACTCTGCTGCAGCGCCATCACAGCTTGTTCAAGCTGCCGTAACCGTGCATCCTTCTCTTCGTTCTCGTGGCGTAGTCTCCTGATCTCAGCGCGGAGATCCTCATCTGCGCGATCAGAGAGGACTGAGTCAGTGACTCGTTTCCGCTTGAGCGAAGGCTCCTCGCTGTCACGGTACTCCAAGTTACGGACATATGGTGACTCGGAGGCTTGATGGCTCTCGACGGTTGGTGAGCGTTCCATGGTGTCACGTCGAATGACTAGGCCGTGCATGTCCGCTGACATGCTTGTCCTACGATGTACGCGACGGATGTGCTCAGCAAGGTTCTCCTTCCGTGTGAAGCCGGCTCCAGAGCTGCGCTTGCAATCTGTAAAAGGGCAGAAGAGTGACTTCTTGGTGCCACCGTGCATCTTGTGTACTTCGCGTTCGTGACGCAGGAGACCACCGCTGTATGTGAAGCCTTGCAGTTTCTCGCATCCTTTGACGAGACACTTATAAGGCCGATCATGCTTGTCCATGTGCTTGCTGCAAGAAAAATCAGTTCAACGTCTTCGAAATCGATATTGCGAATTCACTTACCTCCACTCACACTTTCGGTCGAATGTAAGTCCTGAGCATTCTTGGTGCTTGCAGATCATCTTTGCTTCGTGGTTGCGCGGTGGCTCTTCGGCACGCTTGTAGGAGTGGTTCTTCCGCAAAGATCCGTCATGCTCATCTTGCGAGGAGATGTCCTCGGAAAGTTGTCTTGTGTGAGTGTGAGGGCTCGACATCGTCCTTCTCTGCTCGCCAACGGGTGATGGGAGAGCATCTCCTGACATGCTGACCGGAGTAGGCATATTCGAGTTTGAGTTCATGGAATGTGAGCGTTCGTGCTTATGGTGGATCTGCGATAGTTGTATTGTTGATCTGTTCACTGGTGGCAAGGTATTTCCCATGTTGAAGAGGTCGATGGTGGTGTTGTTGTTGCGTGGCGGGCCTGAGGCGTACGATATATGATTTGGCCAGGCCGCGAAATCCGATTGTGGCGGAGCAAACACCTCACTACCCGTTCCCGCTGTCCCGGTGACTCGAATGCTTGGAGTCTGTGTAGGGTTTATCAGATGACGCGGACTATGTTGTGGCAAAAAGTGCCAAGGCTGTTGGTCAAGGCTATTGGGGCTAAGCTGCGTAAAGGCCGTAATCGTTGTGGCGCCTGGGTTCTGAGGCAAATAATTATTATCGAAATATATGGGGTACTGCTGAGGGCCAGCCCGATAATAAGTACTCTGGCCTGACCCAACGTTAGCTGTGAGCGACTGCAGGCTGAAACCAGGTCGTTGTGGGCGGTCGTAGTGACTCAAAAGGTAGGCTATTCCTTACCTGGGAATTGGGGCGGTGCAGCAGGCGCCAACGAACCAATCGGCGATAGGTGGGTATCTGTAAGGTTCGGATGCCTAGATTCCAAATGTTGCCAATCGGGCGGCCAGGTATCCGCGTTTCGTGCTTCGAACACATCACTCTGAGGCCCCACTGTCACGTTGTCGCCAGTTTGCTGTTGCACCTCACGTTGCGGTTGTGAACCAATCAACTCAAGGCCGAAGTTGAAGTCTGACTAGTTTAGCTACTGAAACACCCTCACGAGCATGCGAACGCAACATGCGAAACCTACATTCAGACGATCCTGGAGCGGTCCATGGTACATCGACGTGTTGAAGCATACGAGATCCTGGGACGCGATCATTGCCACCTTCGGAGCCCGCGGACGCATTGCCCCAAGAGTTGTAAAACATCCAACAGACCTGGTCACCCTCAAGTCAGCGTGCATTCTGATGTTTCAGCGAGATATAAGATGAGCTTACACCCCATAACACAGCCAGCGATGGCTTGATAGTCCATGGAAAGGAGGTACTGAGGGGCCGTGGCTTCTCAGCGAATTCGGTGAACCAGCTCAGGAGCCTTCGCTGCTTCTTGTCATGCCCACCCCGTAGGAGCTCTTCAAGCGCTTTGCGCACCTGTGCTTCGATGAGCTCGGTCTGAAGTCGCAGCAGCAAATGCTCATAGTTTGCAACAAAAGTCTCGTCTATGTTGAGCCCAAATTCTTGACCTTGTGCTGCAAGCCAGCTGTCACTGAACTGGGAACGACAGTATGACAGTGTCTGAATAGTCTCGTAAGTGGTCACCAACAATCGATTGACTTCCTCCAAGGAGCAGCGTTCGAAGATCGGCGAATTACTGTGCTTGAGAAAGAGCTTGTTGTTGGTCGCGTTCGCTGACAGGGCTACTCCAACAGGACTGAGCTTGTCGTCGACAGAGCTTAGCATGCTATGCCGGAAGCTTAGTGGATGAAACCAAACGGAAGCTTGTTTTGACGTACTGTTGCACCTCTTCACCAGATTCGTTTGAGCGATCGAAATCATCCAGGCCCGACGTACGTAGCCTAAGCACTGGCCTAAACGACTTCTGGTGGCTCTTGCGGTACTTGCAAATGCGGTTGGCGATGTGCTGCGGCTGCTTTGCGTTGCGGAGCCCAAGTCGGGACAACCCTTCAGAAAATCGCCTCAATGCCTTCCGATCGGTGGAAACCTTGTGGCCAAGCTGAAGATCATCGTCGAAGCTCCTTTGTACACGTGGCTTGACACGTCGACGTAGTTGAATGACAAAGTGAAGCACCTTGAGGGCGAGGAGAACGTTCGTTTGCTTGCGTCGACGGATCGCCATTGTGACGCAGCTTTTGGGCTCCAAAAATGCGAAAGCGAGCGGACGAACTCCAGGCTTTGCCTCTCGCGACGTAAGCCATTTCTATATGTGTTGGTGCTATGCTGGCGTTGCAAGGCTATGATTGTTAATGGCGAACACAACCGGTGACTGTTTCTCGAGATTCAGGGCGCGCAAGCCCGTCGCGGTGCCACGCCAGCTCTGATTCGCTGAGGTGGGGTGGCTGTGCCGCACGCCACGAAAGCCAGGCAGGAAGGCATCACTCAACGCTTTTTCTTTACTCTATCGTCGTCGATATCAGGCGGAGGACTTGATCATCCCTCCCAGGGGGTGAGGCGCAGCTGATTGTACATCACACGGCGCTCTGTCAGGCACACTCTGCTTGCTTTCAGACGTGCCATGTACCCGTCACGCACCGCTATCATGCCCGTGGGGCTGGTCGCTGCCTTGAGGAGGCCACCCTTCCACATCCGGCACGGTTCTTCATGCAGTTTTGCTCAGAAACGATCGTGAAAATCTACGACCCCACAAAACCTGATGAGCAGATTTTCACATGGATGCCTGGATACCTTGGTGCTTCAGCGATCTGAAACAACCTGGAACATAGTTCTTGCACTGACGTCTCGCAACCCGCATGGAGCTCGACTATGCCTGTGGATCCCCAACATCAGATTAGTCAATCGTGGGGTTGTTTGTAAACCTCGCGTTCGTGTTTTTGAAAATTCCATTTATGGTTCACTCTCAATAGGGCGAAGGCATTGAGATCGGGTTGTTACAACAAGACTGAATACCTCCGGGCTCACTTCGACGGACTCTGCAGATGGCTGGCAAAGAGACACACGAGCTGTGCTAACAGCAGATAGATTTGGGTCGATGTTGTCTGGGATATCGCCCTTTCTAGCAGGTGTAGGATGAAGAGCGCTCTAACATGCAACGACCTTCAGGATGTTCCTCCCGCGATACCGAGGGAGAATCAGCAGTGGATGCAGACATCTACGACTTACGCCAGCAACTGACGATCTTCTCGTGTTGACAGCCCCATCCTCGGTACCGCGGACTTACACCAACTTGCGAGAGTCAAACTCGCCGCTTGGCCTCCATTTTCGTTCCATCTGCGTCAATCCACTTTTATGCAGCCTCCCTGCCGCATGCCTCAAACACACCCCTGAAAACCCAGGCGCTCGGTACCTGAGGAACAGAACGGACCGGAACAGTTGCGGGATTGCAACTCTTCCAGAAGCTTGTTCGCGGCAAGAAATGCTTGAGTGTTGTTTCGTCTTACGATCGGCAGATCGCAGTACCGAGCCATACGAGCCTTGGGCGACAGGATACTTCAGACACAGAATAGACTCGGTCCAAGAATATGAGGCATAATTACCATACGTCAGAAGCTGTAATTAGATCATGAAGGTAACCGGCACCAAAGTTGTCACCGTCAATCGGTCATGGACTGTTCGAAGTGATGACAGCAAATATGTTCATGGCTCACTGCCTAACAACCCCTTGTCAATACGTGATAGTCAGCTGAACTCTTTCACTCCATCGGGAGCTCTCCAAACTTCAATCTTAATTCGGGGTAAATACTCGCTTAATCAAATGCCCAACTCCAATATGTGGCGGTGTAGGCCGCTGTAGTACACTGATAGCTACGGTGAACGACAATGTAGGACTATCGAGTTGATGGAATACTGCGCTGAGTTGCTATCTAGCTAGAAGAAGACGACTATATACCTGACCTGTAACACACTAGACTAGGGTAGTCTACTACGGGTATAGTCAGACCTTGTACGGATTGATTGATAGCGCGACAAAATCGCTATGCAAGTAGACCAATACGTCCAAAACACCCTACTGTTTCCAGAACTGCGCTTTCCCCGGTACCTCAGGCAACCATCCTTCTCTTTGCGAACAGTAAAACTCTCCCCTTGGTTCGAAAGCACTTGAATCATCAAGTGATCCCAATGCAATCTGGCGGAAGTGGTCCTTAGCTTGCTCCTACAAGCAGTCAGCATACAGCGACCTGGGACGTCCAAGACAAGTTGTTATACGAACCTCATAAGTACATATCGTACTCCCGCACTCGTTGCAGAACTCCCTGTACGAATAAGACCCCGACCCGTTATCAGACTTGTGCACCTGCATCCGTCAGCTCTGTCCGCCCCCCCCCCCCCCTCAATTCTATCTGGCAATAAAACACGAATCAAAGCAAACATACCATAACCTTCTCCCCCGTCATCCGCACACCCGTAACCGGCACCTTAACCGTAACCCCAAAAACACTGCCAAACGTCTTCTTGCAGTCCTTACAATGGCATACCATCGTCCGTGCTTCATCCTTCGTCGCGAGTCGGATAGTGTATGTGAGTTTCTTACAATAGCAGCCACCCGCGAAGAGTAGCGGCTCGGTGGGCGAGAGGTTTGGCGTCGATATGTGTGGGTCTCGAGGATTAATATATGTCATTGTTGGTTGGATGAAGGGGCAGGGGACGAAGTAGAGGAGGTGAGACTTTGGAGCCGAGGTGAGCGCCAGGTTCGGATGCTACTGCGAGCTATAATTGAAGCGTCAGGCTATCCGAGATCGACAACGGTGCGGTGATGAAGTGAACGGGTAGTGAGTGTGCGAAGAGGTAAGCAAAGTGACAACTTGTCTGACAAGAGCGACAGATGCTTGAATATGAGCTAAACCCAAGCCGTACGTTGATAATTGACGGGTGTGAATGGAATTTTCGAAAGTCAAAAGGGGGAAACATGCCATTTGTAACAATCCCATCCCTCCGCACAGAGAATTGCATTTCTCCATGCCCGCGCAGATCGTGCTCATTCGGCAAGCAGCGAATCACGTAGCGCCCGCGGCTTCGAACTCATGGTTTTGTTTCGCTCGGTCATCTTGTCCGCGGAGGACGAGTTAGCCTGCACAGAGCGCGACGAAGACGCGAATAATAAAGCGGCTGCTGGCAGCCAGATTTGCACGGTAAGTACTGGTTTAGGAGGAGACCCGCTATGCTACATGTCGGTGTCGGCAAGTGGGTCGAGGAAGCGTGTTATTGGTTGATGAAGCATTGAGTGCCCGCCAAGGATGGCATGTGCGCGGGAGCCGGATCTGCTGTAGAGAATGTGCAACCACAGTCAACGTTATTTCCGTGGACATGACTGAAATGTTTGACATGGTTGGACTCTGGTGTGAATTCTAAGCATTTGTTACGAAGTAGCAAGAAGTGACAAAGAAGTTTGATTCGAATGTGTATTGATTGGACAGGTATTGCTCGAAAGTCTGAATTGTGTGTACTTTATGCTGGGTTCGAGTGTTGGAGATAAAGCAGACATGGAGTGTCGTTCCCTGAGTATTCATTACATTTAATTGACCACCCTCTTTAACTGTCAGCGCACAACCCCCTCCCCCAGAACGCTTGCGGTTCCTGCGACGGTTGTTGCCGCAAAGGCCCTCTGAGCTGGTCGGCTCGACGAGCATCACAGTGCGTATTGCACCTCCGTTGTCACGCAAGACTCAGTAAGACTCTCACAAGAAGACCTGCCTCATATGCCATGACCCGAGACGTGTGGTCGTACCTGACTGTGCAGACATAGTCTTGAAGCACTGTTGGATGAGAAAGAAAAGGTTGGACAAGCTTTGAACAAAAGAGGAGACTAGTTCCCTACGATACAGAGAAGACGTACTGTGTTCATGTCCACAGTTAGTATAGTACAGCACCAGCGCTTCAATAACCAGGTCGCTGACCATGCATTGTGCCAATATTCATCCTTCCACATACACCCCACCTATCATCGTTCGTCTATCCCCTCAGACCTAGCAAGAAGCTGCCGCCCGTCTTCCCGCCGTCAGACCCCGCAGTGCCACCGGGCAGGTATGAGACGTTGGGATTCCTGGCCAGCATCTGCGCAATGTCCTTCTGCGTCTCGATTCTTCGAATCATGATAAGACCGTCACCGCTCTTCGCCACCGCCTTGGAGATTGTGTCGGCAGCCTCGGCCTCACCCTCAGCCCGAATAACGTTAGCCTGCCTCTCCTGCTCGGCCTTCTCCACAACGAATCGCGCGCGCTCGGCTTCTTGCTGGGCAATCTGCTTCTCCTCGACAGCCTTGGTGAACTCCTTGCCGAAAGTCATGTGTGTGATGGAAACGTCCTCAAGGGCAATGTTGAATTCGCTGGCGCGCTTGAGCAGGTCGGCGCGGATCTTGTTCGAGACGGCTTCACGCTGGGTGATGAGTTCGGCGGCGTCAAATTGCGCAACGATGGCTTTGAGGACTTCGTTACCGATCGAGGGGAGAACGCGCTCGTCGTAATCGAGGCCGAGGTTCTGTGCAATGTTAGTATGCATTTCTTTCATGTGAACCTGTGCATAGCGCTGTAGCTATTCGCAGAATTGCTGTAGGAGAACGCACCTGGTAGATCTTAGGCAGCTGCTTGACCTCCGGGCGATGCAGCACCCTCAGCGTTAGAGTAACCATCTGCAAGTCCTTGGATCCGGTGGTAGTGCTGATGTTCCTCGGCCGTGTGCGGACATCGAAGACAATGGCGCGCTGCAGCCAAGGGACCAGGAAATGTGTGCCCTCGTTGACGACCTGCTCTTTCACTCCGGACAAGCGGTCGAAGATGACGGCGCGTGTGCCACCCTTGACATCGTAGATGGACGACTGTGCGACAGAGAAGGCGATGGCACCGGGGACGACCCAGCGGAATATCGAGCTTGGTAGGGCAGCCATGGCGATGTGTGTGGGCGGATGGGGTAAATCGTGTTGCGGTGCGGCGAGGTCGATGGCGTTAATGTTCAAAAGTGAGGAGCTGTCATCGATCGCCGGAGCACGGACGTTTCGGCGCCAACTGGATCTCATTCGCCGCCCACCGTATTACAAGAACGAAGACATTAATTAGCATTCACAATAACTACAGGTGCATTTTTAGTGGAGTCGTAATGGTAAGAGCAGGGCAGTAAGGGTAATCAGGTCAATGCACGCAGATATGGTGTTGAATGAGAGCTGGAAATATGCGTTGTGTTGATGCTCCGCTAATTGTATGAACATGTGTGATCGCAAGTAATGATCAAAAACAAGCAAGTACTCAGTACGCATCCCAGTCAGAGTGCATCGGATGCACAAACATGCTGACCCGCCTCAAGACTTGTGTCTGCTTACTGTCGAATTGTGCAAGAAATGTCACGACTCAGGTCTTACGCCTTGGTCTCCTGATCAATGAAGCCCTTGTGCTCGTTGTGCGCCTTGTACCAGTAGCTATCCTCATTCTTCGGCTGGAGCTCGGGCGACAGCTTCTCGAGGATGACCTTGAGCAGTTTCTCGCGTCCCGCCTCATTCTCTGCGTCACGGTTCCAAACAGCAATCTGCACCGCGTTCCAGCGGACAGAGTACGAGAGACCACAGATGTCATCGTTGAATGCTACAAGTTATTAGTAAACCCATTTATCTATGCCGGGTAATCCACTTACAGGTACGCTTTGTCTCAACAGCACCCTGCAACACGTCGCCAACTGCAAGCAAGCAGAGCTCGTGCCAGAACTGCGGCGCAACGTCCTTGCTGACCTTGAAGTACCATGCACCACCCCGTGCATTTCGCGGGTCTTCCCACACTGGCTTGATGCCCATGTGGAAGAGGTGAATTGAGTCTCGCAGCTTCAGGCTCTCAACTGGAATGTTGTTGAAGTGTTGGTAGAACTCCTTGATGCTGATGATCTGCTCGCCGAGCGGCTTCGGCCGCGATGCGTACTCTTCTGATTGTACTGTCTTGTCCTTGGGACCGCTTTGCTGTCCCTTCTCTGCCCAGAACATCCATCGGAAGCGGAATTCGGGCACCCGGACGGACTTGAAGATCGAGTTCAGCATAGCAGATCCACGTGCTGGTGATGCTGTGGCGGACTGCTCTGAAGCTGATGCCGGAGGCAAGTCAGAGGTGCTGAGCACCGGGAAGCGGCCGGCCATTGTGGGAAGGGGAGGTGAAGTACGGAAGTTGAGAGCGATAGTCTGGAGCTTGTTGACGTCTGAGCGAGCTGCAAAGATCCGTTTGCAGTTGGCGATGGCGAGGTCGTTCTTGATGTCACTGGTGGTTTCGGTAGGTCGAGTGCGAGGCTGAGCAGCTGCAATGTGCCCGGAAGTGGAGGATATGAGAAGATCGAGAATGTGTTGCAAGCCAACCTTGGAGTCTAGCTTGGTCTTGTGGGTCGAGAAGTCAGGTTGGAGAGGCTTCTCAATGTTAGCGTTGTGGGCTGCAGAGGCTCTGAGCATGCCAATAAGGCGAGCGGCTTCGGCCATCGCGACGATTGTGCAGAAAGTGAAGAGATGCGGTGGGGATAGAGAAGTAGTATAAAGGTACAAGAAGAAGAGGCGGACTTTGAGAGAGAAGTTGAAGGGACAGAGGTGAACCCAGGCAAAGTATATGGACGTCCCAGCCTCCAGATTTTGCGCCGCAGACAGAAGTAGCGCTTGCAATAGCAAGATTCACTATTGTTGGCGGCATTTTCACTGAGGGGCTGGGTGTGACATCGGTGAAGGTGAATGCCAGCGATGGGCAGGTGAAGGGCGAGGTAGCAGAATGTTGCATTGATTGCGGCGAACGTTGTTAACAGGCCATGTTGATTTCGAAGAGACAGGGTTTTCGTATCTCGAGAGGTGTGCATTTTGCCGTATGTTTCCAAAAAGATGTTGTCGTGAATGCCAAGGGTTGGTATCAGACGAGAATGGAAGGCGCCAGGTGGGCAAACACAGCAGAGCTGAATCCCCAAGTTTCCGGTCCTGGATGATGGAATCACGCAAGCAGAAATGACAAGAAAATAAGGACCAAAGAAAGAGACGTTCCTGCAGTCAAACATGTACGTACCGGGTCAAAGAGAGGTCACGTCGTTGTCCCCTGTCGCAGCCTTGTTGACGGCTCGTATACCCCGCAGAACGTCGTGTAGTAGCACAGCGAAGAGCACCTGGACACTCGAGGGGATGAGGAGGAAGAGAGTTGGCAGCACGTCAATAAAGAGGTGAGGTGCGGTGAGACTTGGCCAGCTGCATTCCTATTAAAGGCATCTGTCCAGTGAACAAGTCAGCAGCGGGAGCTGCAGCCGCCCGTTCTGGCGTTTCAGTGCGCCGTTTCACAACCCCTGCTGACACCAACAAGAGGCCACGCCTGAGGCCCGCAAAAAGGCGCAGGCCCAACCGCTACCGGATGGCGTCGCCCTTGGCGTGGACCATGACGGCTGCGGGCCGCTCATTGGGCCTGTTAGACATCTTGGATCTCAATTATCGAATGTTGAAAATACTAGCCACGATTCAAGAATTGTGCGGTTCATGTGCTGGAGAAGACTCTTTCATGTGACGTCGTTGGGTTGCATTCGAGTTCTGGCTTGCACCTGAGACCCCCGCGGCGTTAATTCGCCCGCTTCCCCAAATTTGACAGGTCCTGTGATCTTTCTCCCACCCAAAGCCCGAGACGGTTCGGGAACCACCACCTCCGCAGAACCACTGTGCTACCCGTATGCCTCGAGTCTAGTCTCACAGCCGCTGCTACAATGACCTCCCCTGCTGCTCCGCAACTCGCCCACCGTCGTAAACGCACAAAAGTTTCTCCCGAAAACAGCTCTGAGCCTTCTGTTTCCAGCAAGTCAGGTTCTACGGTCAAGGCTTTGAGTGCACCTGCCGAATCCACCGATGCCAGCGACTTAAATTCCGGCGACGAGAGCAGCGAGCTATCTGAATCAAGCGAAGAGCCCAGCGACCTGAGCTCCAGCGAGGACGATTACGAAGAGTGTACCAAGATGGACGTCGAGATACCAAAAGAGCCAGAGGTCGTCAACCTGAGGGCGAACAGAGGGAACAAGCCCACGTACAAGCTGGACGAGGGGGAGTTTGGCCCAGACATTAGAACCTTCTTGAAAGATTTTCTGCCCCAGTTGAAGGCTGCAAACAAAGAGCTCGAGGCGCAGCGCAAGGAGGGTACACTCAAGAAGCGCGAGATCGACGCAGTCGATGGAGAAGAGGATGAACAGTACATCGAGATGGTAAATGTGTTTGCATGGAGCAGCCAACGTATACTAACAACGGTCTAGAACCTTGGTCTTGGTGTGCTTAAGATGAAGGACGCCGACAATAGCTCAGTGAGTAGCAGCGACAGCGAGATGAGCGACAATGAAGACACTACAAAGGGGAAAGACGTTCTCGGCAAGCTCATGGGTCAAGAGCAGGCAAATGAGCCAGCTGGCATCCAAGAAGTCAACGAAAAGCAAGGCTCATGAGGCCGTCATCACATTCATTCGTCAAGTATGGAAGATGCACTGTTCGCCAGCGAAAACGCAGTGCCTTCTATGACTCCTTCTCCCCGCTGTGCCCGAGGCCTGCCTTCGCCCACGTAGCGTCAGCATTCCGGTGGATATCTGGAACCTCGATATACTCGCGCACCTCCTTCTTGCGCTTGTGGTCCGTCCCGAACCGCTTATCTCGGTCCTCGATAATTTTCTCGAAGTTCGGCATCTGATCAGCTGATGTATAACTCGTCATAAGCTGTGGTGGTCCAAGGGGTAGCTTGTCTCCTCTATCAGTCTGCCATAGATGGTAGATCTTGCCGTAGAGATGAACTACTTCCTCCATCTCCTTGTTTTCAGCAAGCTCCCAGGCAGCCTCTGGGACGGCTTTGGGCTTTGGCATGATTAGCATGCCGGACTTGACCTCGAACACGTGCGAGTGCCACAGCTTTTGCTCTTCTTCATCGAGAGTCTCATACAGATGCGGCTTGATCATGTACTCTGTACTATGCATCAGCAAGACTCATGTGGGCACACGCAGTGAGGTTTCATGGAGCAGAGCTTTCCGAGACTTACCGATACCAATGATGCGTGCTGGCTGCACAGGTGAATCGTACAGGATGCACTGTCGCACATCGTCGTTCAGATGTGCGCAATAGTGGTTTGCCTCAACAGCATCTCGCTTAGGGTCATGTGCGTACGCATGGAAGGCGTTCAGGTGCGCGCAGATCCTCTGCACAGGCTCGAAGTTCTACCACTGGTTAGCGTCCAAGAAGATCAACAATAGCATGTATCATTACCTGAACAGCAGCGGCCCCAGTCTCAAGAGTCTTGTTCATCAAGCTCTCTGGCTCGCCAGCTGTCTTGTTGGTGACTGGAAGCGAATCCATGTTGTGGCAGGCTTTGTCCGACATGTGCGTTTTCGGATACCTTTTAAATGAGTTACTCGGGTCAACGGCGCTCTGCTATGGTTGCATGCACAAGCGTTAACCGTGGACTTTGAGAAGATCAGTTGATAATTATGGACCAGGATTGACGTCATCATGATTTGGGATTCGTCACGACGCGAACCACCGCGGTAACAGCAACCGAGTCGCAATAGAGCTGCAAGACACCGCAGATGCCGTTAGACGCCGTTTCTTGACCTGCATAGTTGCAAAAGAGGATTTGTCGTCACTGAAGAGCAGAAACGGGGAACCATCACAGGACAGAATAGCGCACAAGACAGGCCTTTATAAATCTATACCTAGCACAGCACAGTCTGCTATCATTATCCATTCTTCGCGCCTGTCTGTTCATTCTGGTTCTCCCTCTATCTCGTGGTCGTCGTCATATGTACTGATCACATCGAACTATTGAAACCTTCGCCCTTACGCATTCCCTGCGCCCTACAGTTCTGACACATGCCAGGCCTCCAATCTACCTTGTCGAAAACGTATTCCGGACAACTTCAGGTATTTAGATGTGGGCGGTCATGCATCTTGCAGCTGATCCATTGCCAGTTGTTGTTCTGGACGAGGTGGTTGCATTGCCTGTAGTAGTCGGGTCGTTCTATACACATGGTTATGGCTGCTTCTTGATCTGTGTCGAGATTTGCCTAGTTGATATCTGTTCGTGAGCTGTGAGTGCTGGAATTTTGAAGGTTCGAGGGATCTTGTTATATGCAGGAGTTGCGTAAATAGATCATCATGAAGAGCTTTGCTCACAGTGCTGCATCAACCAAGTCGTCTATTTAGAAACTCTGCTGTTATCCAGCAAGTCACAGCCCAGTAAACCATTATCGACTTCCTCTCTGTGAAATGGAATGCGAACTACCGCTCCGTCACGGCCAGCGTGGATGAATCTTCTTCTCGAACTCCAGTCCGGTGCGCAGAGTATCTCGCTTTGCCAATGTGACTTCTCAAAGTCCTTTTACCACCATCATTCACAACTGCCCGAATACCTTACCGGATCACTTCACCCCTCACTCATAACCTCAGGTCCATCTTCTCCAGGCCTTTCGCCCATTCTTCTGCCACTCTGCCTCCTTCAACTCTTCAGGTGAAGGCTGCTCGCCCAACTGAGGATGTCTCCCACACACCCCACCTTCGTGGCTGATGGCCTGAATCGAACCGAGGTGCCCGTTGCACATGTCTTGCATGCGTCGCTGGTAGTAGCTGCAGCGTGTGATGCTTTTGGGGATGAAGTTTTTTACGCAGCCGCAGGTCGTGTAGCGTGTTGCTTTGATGCCGCACATGATTGGGCTGGTGGTATCGATGAGGTTGACTTGTGCTTCTCGATGAGAATTTACGGTCTCGATATGAGCAAAAAGATGAAAGCTATGGATCTGAGAGGAGGAGATGGTGACGACTGATGAGTCTGGAGGTGTACAGCCCTTCCACGCTCGCGCAGACAAGCACTATATGAACACATACTGTGGCTGAGGCGTTGAGTATGGTGTCAAACAAACGACAACCTCTTTGCATGGCATCTCACTGAGAAGTATACTGTGATGACGACGTACACGCAAACATAGACATCGACAAAACGACAAGCTTCACCGATGTTTGATGCGATGATAAAGACGGAGGCGACATCATGCCCTTTGTGATGAGCAACGAAGTCGAAAGACAACAAGGATGGACAAAGACTGCGAATATCTGGCGTGCTTCAACAAGCGGTTGCTTGGGGAGGTTGTTTGTGCCAACGCGCATTGTGCGAGCTGCCTGAGGCAAGGCGGTTGATTGTGTTCTGGTGACATCATGTTGAGTGGGCTTGAGGTGAAGGTCTCGAATCGCCAAAGGAAGGAGGAGTATATGTTCATTGTTCTCACGTGCATCACAAGACTGAAGGTATTGGTGAACGTGAGCGAGGAGGCTGTCAGAAAGGCGGTTGATATTCGGTGGGTGCGCAAGAAGCGCAACCTCGGTTGCCGCCAGCCTCTCTTCTTCTCAAACCATTGTTCCAGCATTGCATGTACATGCTTCCACTCGGCCCCTCCATCGGTTCATCTTGCCAGCCGCTGTGAATTCGCTGCTATTATCTCCCATCGTACCTACGCAAAGTTCGCCCTGGGCGTTATCCAGATGTTCTTACGCCTGCACGCCGTCCAATGACCTCAAAAATCGGACCATGCGGTCAGCAAACCATCGCTGCGACTCAACTGCAGATGATGTATGATCCGCCGTTGGCACAACATTCGATAGCCGGCTCACTACAGTAGAACAAAAGTTTGGTCGCGAATTTGAGCTCGGGCCACAACACCACACAAATGTGAAATCAAACATTAACTTCACAGCAGATTTACTCAACAACCATGTCTCAATACAGTCAAGCAGTTAGCAGCAATCAATTACCAGGCCAGGAATTATCAACATGCCTTTGTGACAGTATTATAGCTGCCATAGAGGGTGGTTGTCATGGGTATTTCCCCCTTACATGTACTGGCCAGCTGTCACGGGTATTTCCCCTTACATGTACCGGCTGTCAGGCCTGGCTGATGATATAGTACTGTTCCGGCTAGAGCTCACCATTAGAGTGAGCCGTGATACCTTTTGGCTTGCTTGGCTCAGTGGGCCGGACCTGAGTCTTGACATAAGACACAACCTCAACAGTAAACCCTAATGTTCTGTTGTTATGATGTTATAGTTGTGCAAACAGAAGGCAAGGTGTTGGTGTTTGCAGTTTTAGTAAGGGAAAGTAGCTGTTCGCGGTGGGCTTATTCTCCCGCACCGCGTGGGCGGGTGTTGCGCGACGCCAGGCGGCACGTGCGCGAACACGGTAAGGCTAGCGTGTCGGCAATGACATGGGGTTGCGGCTTCCCCAAATGAGGGACCGTTCCGAGAAATCAACAAAATCCCTGTGATAGCCGTGACTTCTCCATATCGCAGCGCACACCCCGAGATCCGTACTAGACCCCAAACTTGTCCAGCAACTTAACCTCTTGCTATAGTACTGCACGATGAATGGCACAAACGGGACCAATGGCACACCGGTGGGTGCAAAGCTCCTGTGGAGACATTCCTCCCCAGAGAGCACCCCAATGTACCAATTTCTCCACAAAGTAAACTGGACGCACGGACTGCAGTTGTCGACATATCCTGAGCTCCACCAATGGAGTATTGACAACATTGATCAATTTTGGCAGGACGTTTGGGAGTTTGTGGGCGTGAGGGCTCAAGGCAAAGCAACAAAAGTCAGACGTTGATTCTCTAAGCTGGGCTCTCACATACTGATCTGATAACAGGCAGTGGATTCAAATGCTCCTATGTTCCCTCGTCCGGCATTCTTCGAGGGTGCCACGCTGAATTTCGCCGAGAACCTACTCTTTCCCGCCCAAGAAGTCAGCCCAGAGTCGCCTGCCGTCATCGCCGTAACCGAGACAACACGCGAAACAGTGACATGGAAGGAACTGAGGGAAAGAGTCAGGCAATGTCAGGCTGGTATGAAGGCTCTCGGAATACAAAAAGGCGACAGGGTTGCTGGCTATGTCGCCAACCATACGAATGCGCTTGTTGCTATGCTGGCTGCAACGTCACTGGGAGGCATCTGGACAGCAGTCAGCCCCGATACAGGTGTACACGCTGTACTGGAGCGGTTAATACAGATCGAACCAGTCATACTCTTTGCAGACAATGCTGCCTTCTACAACGGCAGAAGTCACCCAGTCATACCCAAAGTCAGCGAGATTGCAGCTGGACTGCCCTCTCTGCAAGCGGTCGTAGTCTTCCCTACTGTGTCATCGGTGCTTGTGGATCCGAGCTCTATCAAAGTATCCTTGGGCCAAGCTTACGACTATGCGGCGTTTGCAACACTTTCGAAGAACTCAGAATTGACGTTCGAGCAGCTCAGTCCCGACCATCCTGTCTACATCCTCTACTCAAGTGGTACAACTGGTTCACCAAAGTGCATCGTCCATGGAGCCATTGGTACACTTCTCCAGCACAAGAAAGAACACATCATTCACTCTTCGATCACCCTCTCTTCCCGCCTTTTCTACTTCACGACCTGCACATGGATGATGTGGCACTGGCTCGTCTCTGGTCTAGCTTCTGGGGCCGCAATTGTACTTTACGACGGTTCACCTTTCCGCTACATTGACAGCAGCAACCCTTCGACATCCGTGCCAGATGACCTTGCCATGCATCGTCTGATTGAGGAGTACGGCATTACTCATTTCGGTACCTCTGCGAAGTACCTGTCAATCCTCGAGCAGAAATCAGTGAACCCCAGGGCTGCAGGTCTTGCGTTGAGCAAATTGGAAGCAATCTACTCCACAGGCTCGCCACTCGCACCTTCAACATTCTCCTACGTCTACTCCGCTTTTCCCTCAACCATCAACCTCGGTAGCATTACGGGTGGTACAGATATTATCTCCCTCTTCGGTGCACCAAACCCTCTGATACCCGTATATGAAGGCGAGATCCAAGCCGCTGGGCTCGGCATGGCGATCGCTGCGTTTGACTACACCGGTGAAGACATCTCATCTACGGGCGAGCCAGGTGACCTTGTCTGCACAAAACCCTTCATCTGTCAGCCTGTCGCATTCTGGGGCGGGGAGGGTTTCAAGAAGTACCAGAACTCATACTTCGACAAGTTCACTAACAAGAAGGGAGAGCGGATCTGGCATCATGGCGACTTTGTACGCTTCAACCCCCAAACTGGCGGTATTTGGATGCTAGGGCGAAGCGATGGCATCCTGAAGCCGGCTGGTGTGCGATTCGGCTCAGCAGAGATCTACAACGTCGTACTTGAGCACTTTGCTGAAGAGGTCTTAGATGCTCTGTGCATTGGGCGGCGGAGAGAAACTGACCCCGACGAGACCGTGGTACTTTTCTTAAAGATGGCAGAGGGCCACCAGATCTCTAACCAACTGGTGTTGAAGATCAAGACCGCGGTCAAGAACTCATTAAGCGCAAGGCACGTTCCAGCTGTCGTCGACGAGTGTCCAGAGATACCAGTGACCACGAACGGAAAGAAGTAAGTCTTTGACCACCCCGTTCATACAGGTCTTACTAACAACAACTAGAGTCGAGGGTGCAGTGAAGCAGATCTTGTGCGGGCTGAACGTCAAAACATCTGCGAGTGTTGCGAACGCAGAATGTCTGGACTGGTATCGCGACTGGGCGCGCACGCAATAAGCATACCATATACGGAACGCAATATCATTCGTTCTTGGACAAGTACTTTGCAGCTCTGCATACTTCACTGCCCAACTCTTAACATCAGCAATGACTCTGTAGATTGACAGTTATCTCACGAATAGTCCATCGCAGTTTTACCACGTCGCACCGCATCAGTGAACTGTTTTCTTCCTGAAGAACCGTGATGTTGACGTCATTGTTCAGTTTCTCGTATTTTGATTGATTGATTGATTAGTTTTACGTCCTATGTGAGTCTAGCACTATGGAAGATGAAAGGAGCAGTAGCTCCTCTGATGATGCCAGGAGTTAGTTACAGGCGGTTGAGTTCAATGAATGTACAAGGAATAGTAAGTACTCCGTTTTCTGCTGTCCCAACTTCAATCACTCCCTAGAGGTCTACTTGATAGGCAGTAAGATGTGAGAGAAGGAAGGCCAAGTAAAACTGAGCACTTTTTTCCCTTGTTTTTTTGGTTCTGAAAAGCTGGTAGAGCCTAGGTACCTCTGCCTATGTGAAAACAAGCTCTTCTCTTGTCAACTCCCATTTTCCTATTGCATAGAAAGAAATGAATACCCCACCTGAACCCATGGACCAATCCCAATGGGATGCTTCGGATTGATGTGATGATTCCGTTCAATTTGGCACAAACGTCGGATTTCTCGAAGTCCTTGAGGGTAGACCACAAGTGCTCGAGTGACACGCCAGGCATACGCTGCATAATCAGGCAGATATAGCCCGCACTTGCTATACGATACATTGCGTAGAGTTTGGGCAAGCTATGGTAAAGCTTCTAAGTGGTGCTTGAAAAATAGAAGTGCTTGGCCTTCGATCTCTTTAACACCACGTCCGTGTTTGACAATGAAATGAGGCTCGATTGCAACCACCCTGTGATAGGATGAATCATTCCGAAACACGGCTGGTGATTCGAAGAAACGAGATTTGCTAGGTAGAGGGGACGGTAGTAGGTCGGGTGGTTTGAGGTAAGGAAGTTGAGCTGGCGCCGAAGCCATGATCGCTTCGAGCTGTAGGCTCCGTGTGCACACAGTCGTGGAAAGATGTAGGCGCGGACACGCACAGGACAGTTGGGCTGTTCACGAGTCGAGGGGTTTTTTTTTTCGTAATTATTGTTATGGACAACGCGCTGAATTGGATTGTGTTATGAACAAGGAGGGAAGCAAAGACATGGTGGAGAGCTTGGAATGTCCAACTCTGCAAACGAAGCACCGCCAAGCCCGCACCACGCCCGACTGCCAGAAATAGCTCATTATCAACGGATGCTTCTGAAAGAGCGCCCTATTCTGTCACCTAGCTAGGGAGCCAATAGCGCCTACTAGAACCAGCTGACATCAGAACGCCAAACCAAAACACCTTCCACTACCAAACCAAGGAAGAAACCAAGTGGCAAGTCAAGAAGGTCAAACACCAAGATACAAAGCAAGACAGGGGATATCTTGCCAAATGGTTAGGGTACCCAGACTTGGAGAAAACATGGGAACCAACAACGCACCTCACGAACTGCCGCCAGAAACTGGCACAGTATTGGGCGACGATGCAACAAGAGCCTCGCCCAGAAAAGATGGCGCAGCCGTGCCCCAGATTTCGTCAGATAATATATCCAGCGCACTCCAAGTAAAAGGGTATAGGGAAAGACCGTCGGAAGGGCCCAAATGACCTTCTTGCTGCTCAAGGAGGCTGATGCCTGCCTCCTTCAAAATTGCCTTGGAAGCCCGTTTGGCATTTAGTTGAAGAGCCTTCTGCACGGCCACCTCCTCACGCTTCCATGCAGCAAGGCGCGCCTGCAGGCGCTCCCGATCTTCACAATAGTCACCCATTCATTCTCGGAAATCTGGATGTTACAGTTGCAAAGGTTGCGACAAGTACACTCATTACGACGACCAGAGCGTACGTGGACCCAACAAGAAAGCCCAGAGTTACGACAATTACTATAAAAAAAAGTTAGTTCAATCAATCAATCAATCAATCAGGCAGGCACTCAATCAAGTCAGCTTCTGGTAATCTGGATAGATAGGCTAGTACAGCGTCACTCATCCACTTATGATCTGCTCTTTCGCCCTCCTAACATTCTGCCTCTGTCTTTCCCGCTCCTCCATGCTGATATTGATATTAAAATGCGCGCCCCGTATCTTCGCATACAACTTCTCCGCCGTCAAGCCCAGCACCGGCTCCGGCCATTTACCTGTGATATCCGTCTCCAGCTCATCTGAATTGATAACCACAGGTTCATGAGCGCGCAGAACGAACACAATACTGAACCTATATCTCTTCTCACCATCTTTGCCTCCATCTGGATCTCCATACGACACTACCCGATGACCACCTGCAGGGTATCGTCCATTGCTTAGACGCTCCAACTGTCTTCCCGCTAACAAGCTCGCTCCCTTCATCCCTGTCTTCTCAACCTCTTTCTCGACTTTGAACCATTTCGCACCTTCCCAGACTTCCAGCCCAGGAACATTGCCAACGACAACACTCAACAGCCCCAGGTCCGCATGTGGTTCCGCAACCTCCTTCGCTTCCCACCCCTCATACCTAAACAACCTCAACATCGTCGCCGTCTTTTGCTCGTCACGCTCCTGCATAGCCCCGCACGGTCCAACAAACTTCTTCAACCCCTTCGCCGCATCGTCAGGCTCCGGGATATCCAGACTTGTAGCTATCCGTCCAAGCGTATTTTCGAGATGCACACCCATGAGATCCCAATACCTCTTCGCCGGCCCACGTAAGACTTCAGGACAGTACTCCAGCGTGCGCAAAGTGATGAATTCCTTCTCGCCTGGGATGCAGGACCAGCCCTCTTCGGAGCCGAGTTTGTGCTTCCAGCGCGTCTTTTCGTCGGCGGGCTGCGCGAAGAAGGCTTGAGAAGCCGAGAATAGCGCTTCGTAGGCCATTTGCAGAGGGTGCGGTCCGGGTGCTGGTAGGTCCTGGGATGAATCCGTAGGTGGTGGTTGGGGAAAGGTGATGGTTGTCCAGCCGAGGCTTGAGAGGGCTTGTTGGTGGTCCGGGAGGACCAGGGGGAGGGGAGAGGGTATTAGTGCTGGTCTCGTATCAATAGGAGTGTCGAGTTGTTCTTGTTTTTTGGAGATATCTTTGCTGTTGCGCCTGCGTAGTCGCGAGATGAACTTGGTGAGGGACATCGAATGCTCAGAGGGTGTTGTGGGAGCCGCGACCGCCATTTTTGTGATCAAACTTGTTGTGAGACGATTATTGATAGTTGAAGCAGGTCTGAGGGCAAGATTTTAGAAGTTAGGTGTTGAAGTTGTGATGGTAAGCACAAACGAGGCTGATGACGTCGGCGAGCTAAGCCACTGCTAGTGCGCCGGTGAGCATATTGAGGAACACCGCAGATAAAGGGAAGATATCATGACCTAACATTTGCAAGACTCTTTCGCTTGTTTCTTACTACTCAGGCTGCAAGTGAACCATATTCTTAGGCTTGCTTTTAGCCCACAAGGTTCTCTCCCTTTCTTCAAACCACTGATGCAGCACCGGTTTGACCTTGACTACCGGCCCATTTTCTCCCACGCTGATACCAAACTCGATACCCTCTTTGTAGCTCCCGCTCTCAACGCTAATTCTCATGGGTGTCATCATCTCCAATCTGCACAATGCAAGGCCAACGTTACCGATGTTAGCGACACACTTGCCAGTTGCGCGACCCTTCTTTATCGCGCCCGTCTCGTCAAGCTGCTTGATGTCTGTTCCCGCTTCAAGAGTTGATGTCGAGGATAAAGCATCGCCGGTAAAGTCCAGCTGCACAGGTAGTATCCGCTTTCGAACAACACCGGTGTGTTTGGTCCGTATAGTAAGCTCCTGACCAACATAGCAGCCCTTCTTGAAATCTATGCCTTGTGCCAGGTCGATGTTGACTTCCATCGGCAACGCGCTCTCTCTTGGGATCTCCTGCGGCCCTTCGGCAATTCCCTGCTTATAGCGCTGCAAATGGTACTGCTGTACGTCTCGTGTCTCCAACCCATCGCCGACAAGGCCGCTGTTAGGCTTTGCAAGGATCCTCCAAAGAGTTGACTGGTCACCACGTGGATCACACAGGTCTGCAACTACCGCCTGCCGGTTGATGCCCTCTTGTGCCTGACCCCACACTGCCCACACACCCAGCTCTTCTTCTGGCACAACCTCAATGGCAACCTTGCTTCTGAGTTTGTGTCGCTTCAAGTGCTTTCTCAGCGCTTCGACCTCTGACGCATCGACTTCGATGTAGCAGCTCCAGTTTTCCTTCTCTGCCAGTAGCTCCGGATATACCCACACAAAGACGTCCCATAGCACTCGACCTCTGGAGTCGAGAAAGGCGGCGAAGAACGGCTCATGGCGGTCCGCATGAACGTTGTTCGTTATTAAGCCCTGCAAGAACTTGACTGTGTCCGGGCCGGAGAGGCATATGAGGCGGCGGTGCGGAAGAGGCGCAATGCCCGAGTCCGTAGGCTGCGGCGCGTTGTCCGCTGTCGAATAAGGACGGGTGCCATTGCTCTGAAGATCGCCAGGTTCGGGTTTCGATGTTCGGTATGTTGATCGCAATGGCTGCTGTGCTAGCTGCGGCGTACGGCGGATCCTTGTGGATGACGCAGTGCTGAACGTGCGAGCTGTGGTCAGGCGCGCGCCACGCCAGACGTCGAGGCTGCTCTGGCACGACTTGCATATATACGCAGAGGACCGTGCAAACACTGAAGTCGACGGTGTCGCCATGGTGTGCAAGGTTCGAGGTATGGTGGTTACGGATACATCATGGAGCTCTGACAGAGAGCTGAGCTGTGGCGTCAAGATTCACAATCGATAAGGAAATTGCCTCGGACCAATTGCCGTCACGATAAAGTCGGATTAGGTGTCAAACATAGATTCCCCCTACGGGTATCAAGTAGATAGATGCGCTAGATATGCCTAGTCATAATCAAAACATAGCCTCACAATGGGCAGCTTGCCTAATTCCCAAACGCCAGCTCCAAGAACTAATGCCCCCCAAGAACCTCATCGATGAACCAACAACTAATCGTCCTTTCGACTTTGACTTGCGTGACTCGTTAGTCTTGCATGCTCATCATCGCTGCCTTTCGGGCTTGCCGGCTCTAGATCATCGTCGTCGTCGCTCCATTTGTCGTCTTCGCCTACTGCGAAGATGGTATCGCCATCAAGAGATTCCCTCGGAGGATGAATAGGCTTCTGTGGCTGAGGAGCAGGTAGCGGCGAAACGTCGCGGGCAGCGTCGCGCTGTGGTCGCACTGGATCGTACGATGGAGGGTGGTCTGATGGACCATCTTCCTCGTCGAGTGAGTCGCGAATGGAAGCGATTTCGAAACCTTCGTCGTCTTGAGCAATCTGGGTATTCATTAGTATCGTGCTGACCTACAGGTTCATCACGCTTACCTCGTCACTCATAGCGAACCTCCTGTTGTTGGCAGTTGGTCGCCACATGTATGCAACAAAGCAAACATCAGCCAGGTAGACCAAATTTAGCCAGCCATCCAAAACAAACCACCTTGTCTGCCAATGTGTTGGTGCAAAGTCCGGAGTGGAGGCACCGGCGAATGTAAAACTGTTGATGAAGAAGAACCCAAAGATAACAACGATGCTGGTCAAGATGCACCACCAGAGCCTCTTGTACATCGTGGCCTTGACGTGCTGCTTACGCTCCATGAGGTCCTTCATTGTAAGATTTAGAGAGTTTAGAGTCCAAATGTAGAAAGCAGTCAGCGTGGCAGACAGTGGTAGGATAACAAGCAGGACCAGAGGTCCAGCGTCATCAGGACGGACAGTGAGCGATGCGACAGCGTAGATGACACCGAAGACAAAGTGAGCCACAGCCAGCCAGCGAACGATGGTCATGGTCTTGCCAAGGGAAGGCTTAACGACACCGTAGCCCATGCACACGATGAGCAGCAGGAAGAACGAGAACGAGTTACGGAACGCGTTCAATACGGCAACAACGACCATGAGCACCTTCGTTCCAATGTTGTTGCCATGGCGGTTCTGGTAGTCGTAGAAGCCCCAGGTCATGAGCATCTCTACCACCAGGAAGACCAGAATGGCTGTGATGTAGTTCTGAACCGCCAAGATGTCGTGCCTGTTCTGGTAATACAGGAAACCCCAGAAGAGCAGCACTACAAAGTATACGATGGTGATGCCGCCGTAGAAGGGGAGCTTTGCGATTTGCGCCGCTGGGAGCTCGCCATACGCATTGCGGAATGTGATGATTGCTTCGTAATCGACTTCTTTCGTGTAGGCAGCGGTAGCGACGCAGTAGTACCCTGTCTTGATTGCCAGCTTTCGCTCTCCGCTGGCGACCGGGTAGTTAATCGGTTTGGGGTCGTTGAGGTGAACGGCCTCAGTTCGAATGTACATCTTGGATACAGAGTCGGCATTGTCGGCTAGGATCCATTCGCCCTTGTGTGTTCCGTTGCAGAGCTTCGCATCGATCGCATCGTCGTTACAGATGTAGGAGCGCTGTTACCAGTCAGCTTGCTTGAGAACATACACCTATAGTTGTACTCACGTCGTCAACAGGCATCTCAGTCGGCTTGCCTAGCAGTAGCGAGTCTTTCCATTCCCAGATGACTACGCCCACTGTGGGATCCTCAATCCCCTTGTTCTGGTCTCCCTTCTTGAGGAACTTGACGAGGATGAACGGCTCGACCTTCCCACCCCATGATTTCTTGCTGTACATGCCCGAGCATTTCTGAGGATCGTCGCGAGTAAGTGTGACGTCGATTGCTGCTACTGCTGTTATGGTTGATAGCAACAGCAGCCCTATGCTGTGCAGCCATTGCTGCTTCATGATTGTGGCTTGAGGCCAGCTGGCGGAGCTAGCGGTGGTTCGACTACAATGCGTTTGGCGCGCGTTTGCGTTGCGTGGGATTTTGTCTCAAGATTGTTATCCTCTTCCTTTAGTCAGAAGCTGGGTGTTTGGCGCAGAAGGCTGCAGTGTTGAATGTTTGGCGTCGTCACTGCCTCACTCTCCGGCCGCGTAGGAGCTTAGGCTGCTAGCGCGCTTCCACTCCAGGGCGCAAGGCAAGCACCACCAACAGCACTATCACACTGCCAAATTTCACATCAACCAACCACACATCATGCCTGGCAAGACTACAGATGGTGCCGCCGGTGGAATTTGCAGAAGGTGCAAGGAGAATGTTTCTGTCCTTGTGGTACGCCTGGAGCCACTTTGCCAGTCAGTCTTGTTTTCTGAGTGAATGATTCATGCTAAAAATTTATGTAGAGAATGCTTCGCCCGCTACGTACACACAAAGGCTATCAAACGACTAGAGACCTTCCGTGTTGACTTCCACACTAATGAAGAGCGAAAAGTGCTGCTCCCTTTATCTTTTGGGGTCTCGTCAACTACTCTGCTCCACATCCTGGATCTGCATCTGAAGACCCAGATGAGCAAGACCGGTCGCACAGGCTTCGCTCTCAGTATGGTCGCCATCAGAAATGCCGAACAAAGTCCACATACAGAGGACCTGCTCGAGGAAGTTCGCAATCAGTACCCAGGTCACGAGTATGCATCATTGCCACTGCATGATGTATTCCGTGTGATTCCAGACGATGCAGCTCTGCGAGACCTGATTCCCGAATATACAAAAGGAGAACCCCCCAAGGACCAAGAGCAATTGGCTCGCCTGATCAACTCGCTCACCTCTGCAACAGCTCGCGCAGACGTTCTGTCGACGCTGAGGGCCAGACTCATAGTGGAGCACGCAAAGTCAACAGGGTGCCAAAGCATTCTATGGGGTGACAGTACCACCACACTTGCCGAGAAGACACTCGCCGAGACCTGCAAAGGTCGAGGATTCTCATTGCCATGGCAGGTAGCTGACGGGAAATCGCCCTTTGGCGTCTACTTCCACTACCCTCTTCGCGATGTCCTCAAGAAAGAGCTAGTGTCATACATAGGCTTCGCCGAATCTGGACTGTCATCACTGGTTCATGAGCCATTTTCTGGCGCAACACAGGCATCCACTAGTTCGAAGAACACAACAATCGACGATCTTATGAAGCAGTACTTCGAGTCTGTGGAGGAGAACTTTCCGAGTATCGTTTCGAACGTGGTTCGTACCTCAAGTAAGCTTGAGGTACCCGCAGGCGCGGAGTCCGATCCACGATGCGGACTGTGCGACATGCCCGTACCTGGCGGCCGGTTTGGCATCCATGGCTGGGGTGGTTATCAACAAGACGGTATCGAAACTGCTGCAGTGGTTGGTAAGAACGTGTGCTATGGCTGCACTCGATCGTTGCCTCCGTCGGCCACAACCACGACTCGCATTTAAGGCCTTCATGAGGAGGCTATGAGCGCATCACACATAGTTCCGCCATCGATTTCATTATCAGCAAAAATGACCGCTTCTGTATGTGCTGCCTTGGGACATGGGTCGACCTTCGGTTTTGCACTTTGCGAACTGGCCTGTGCGTTCTGCACATCTGCGGCTGTATTGCGCCGAATGCTCACACCAGAAAGAGCAAGAGTGCACTTTTTGAATGGAGACAATGTGTCCATCGACAACGCTCCGTTTGCACGGACCAGTACTCAGAAGAATACAGGGCTATAAGAAGAGCAGTAGTTATCGTCCTTTCGTCGTACGCCTTGGTTTTCCTGCGACAAATATTTGACGACTTTAGCTGAAAGCACTTTGCCGATATTCAACTCTCAAACGAGCCGTCGACATGGCAGTTGAGACTGGAGTGTTCTTTGATCCAGCCGCAGACATCCCATCGTCGGCAGGGAAAGTCATCCTAGTTACTGGCGGTGGGCGTCAATCAATCCTTCATCGAGCTCCATGCTAAGATCAACAAGCTCCGCAGGGATAGGGGCAGAGTCTGTCAAAGCCTTCGCAGCCCACTCACCTGAGCACATCTACATCTCTGGACGCAACTCCACCGCCGCCGTAAGCCTCATAGCCGATATTCGATCGAGATATCCCGCTGCAGCACTCACGTTCATTGAGCTCGACCTCTCATCCTTACATTCAGTCGTCCGCGGCATAAAGACAGGTTTCAAACACGACCGCCTGGATTTCCTTCTCCTTAATGCTGGCATCATTGCCAAACCACCCGCCCTCAGCATCGACGGTTATGAGATCCAATGCGCGACAAACCACATCGGACACGCTATGCTCACGAAACAAGTTCTTCCACATCTGTTGAACGCGACGAAGATGCCAGGTGCAGATGTCCACGTAGTGATCACTACGTCCGAGGGCTACGAGCTCCATCGTCTGATCAAGGGCGGCATCGCATTCGACGAACTCCAAAGCGGCAGCACAATGAGCCGCACGATCCTCGGGCCGTGGGCGAGGTACGGACAATCAAAGCTAGCGAACATCCTGTTTGCGTTGGAGTTGGGCCGTACATATCCGGAGATCATGACGGTTTCGGTACATCCGGGTGTCGTCAAGACTCCTATGCTCGATGGGTTGCACGGGTTCAACAAGGTGTTCAATGATTTTGGGTGTCGGCTCAACGGAACCATCCCGGTGGAACTCCATCAGGGTGCGTGGAATCAGCTTTGGTGCGCTGCCGGAGCGACGAGGGAGGAGTTGGTTAATGGAGGTTTTTACAAACCGGTAGGCGTCTATTGCACAGAGAAATTGACGCCGCTTGTGAAGGACAAAGACTTGGCGAAGAAACTGTGGTACTGGACTGATGAGATTCTTGTAAAGTTCGACGATGGGATGAGCAAATAAGCGTTCACATTATTGCGATCACTCGAATGCAGTGTGAGACTGTTCTTCAAGCGTGCAGCTTGCTACCTCAACTTGATAGCTTCTGACCGAAAGAACTCCTCGCCACCAATCCCCTAAACTTCTTGCCAAACACGTATGCAGGAACAGTCAGTGCACAAACACCCAGATTGATCATCGTGATTGCCACGAACACCTTGCTCGGTCCAATACTCGCCATAACCCCATTTGCATACGTCGTGGCAATGAATGTAAGCACCGCCTTCGTAAAATTGATTGTGACAAACGCCTGATTTGCATCCTTCGGATGACAGTCGATGACATACGTCAAGCTTGCTGTGCTTGCGAACGGTACGCTGAAAGAGTGAATCGACATGAACGCGATGAGCTGGTAGATAGAATCACCGCGCTGGGCGCTGATGCCGAAGCCCAAGAATCCGATAGTCGCAAAGAAAACGGCAGGCAGCATAAGCGTGAGGCGGAACTCGGGCTCGAAAACACCCTTGTTCCTGCGCGCCATGAACTTCGCTACGAAGTCGGCGGCCCAGCCTGACAGCGGTGAGCCAATGAGTCCGACGACGAGAAGAGGTAGGTTGGTGAGTCCGACTTGCGCCGGTCCGAGGGAGTAGGGCGGTGCGGAGAAGATGGAGACAGAGAGAACGGAGATGGTAAGTAGCCAAGTGAAGTATGTACCATACACTACGGTGCTGAAGAGTACGGCAGGATAGGCAATGAGCGGAACAGGCTTCCATACGTTCTGCCAGAAGGACTCAGAGGAGAGGCGGCCACGAAAAAGTGCGAGTTGCTGGCGGTATGTCTCCTTTTCTTCGCCGTACTCGGACCAAGCGGAGCTCTTCTCTTCGGGCTCAAACTCCTTCTGTGAGCCAGGACAGGTACCGTAGTACGTTGTTTCGACCACGAAGAAGTACATGCCGAGAAGAATGGGGATGAAGATCAGCGCGGAGATACCGAAGGTGGCCTCGAATGAGATCTTCTCGATGATGGCGCCCGCAATGGTCTGGCCAAGAAGCACTCCGCTGGCCAACATGCAGCCCCAAATACTGACTCGCGTGCCTCGTTGGTGAACGAAGTACATATCCGACACGGCTGAGGTGACGAGAGTCTCGAGCGGTGCTGAGGCGATACCTTGGATCACCCGCATAACAGCAAGAGATGGGAAGGATGTTGTGAAGTAACCCCAGCAGTTTGTGGCAAGCAAGATCATGGTCGAGATGACGAAGAACGGTCTCTTGCCCCAGATGTTGGCACCTGCTGCGGTGAAGAAAGTGGTAAACCCAGTCCAAAACGCGAGAAATCCAATGACGAGACTGGCTACCATGTCGATGCTAACATTATACTTCTGTGCGATGAGAGGCAGACCGGGAGTAACCATTGGGCCGAGAGAAGTTGTCACGCCAGAGCTGAGCGCCAGGATTACCATGATGACTTCTTTTCGCGCTGCAGACCAGTTCAATGGGTCATTCGGACTGTCAGATGGCTGAGGCTGGAGAACAATATCACCATCACGCTTCACCCCCGAAGTATCGACTGCTGGATCCTCTATACAGCAGTTTGCTGTTAGCCGTTGTCAGGTCCAACACTGGGAAGAGTTCACGTACCAGCAGCGCCAAGAGTGGACGTTCCCGGAGGCGCGGCCATTCGGCGGTCTTCTAAAACACCTAAACCCATCTTGTCGAAACTAGGGGAACCAAGACGAGATAATGGAAATTTGAAAAGAACGGAGGAAGCCTGCCAGCAGACCCAGATTATAAAGTGTAAGTGAACGTGTTGAAAGAAAAGAAAGCAATGAGACCAGCTCTACAGAAACAGGATCAAAGATGTCTCACATACTTCTGCACGGCCATAAGGCATGTATAGTCGCACGGAGTCGTCAAGTGGGGTGATCTTCCCGAAACCCCAAATGGAGCGGCGTCTACGATTGTACGTGGGTCATTCGTACCACAATCCGCTTACTGCCGAACACGTCCACTTTCTGCCTCAGTGGAGCACGTTTTACAGTGTGTGACAAAGGCTTGTTTTTCGCGGCATGATGTTCGAAGCTGTGCGCCAAGGTAAGAGGTGCCGGTCGAAGCATTGTAGGTTTCAACCTTCGGTATCAAAGTATTTCGCAACCGTAACACCTCGAAGCAAACGCGTGGAGGTATAGGAAGCGCTATGAGTTAGTTGTACATATCCGCGGACCTACAAAAGAGTAAACCTTCCATCGAATCGCAAATCTGTCAGTTTACTGACGCCCTAGGGTGAGTGATGTCCCAGCAGCATGTGGGCTTGATTGTGGTATATGCGTTGTTCAAGGGTACCGGAGTCCTTTCCTTGTTTTCATGCGCAGTGGAATGCGCCATAATTGTGCTGCCGAGGAAGGTCTGACGTTGACTGAATCGTTGGGCCGTTCCTTCTCCGTCACCACCACACCGCGCGCCTTCTCTGCCACACCTCCACTCTCATTCCTTCTTTTTGTGTCATTACATTATGAGATATTATAAGTGAGGCTGTCGCACCCGGCGATCGATTAGCAATGCAGCTCCACTGCACCAAGGCTAGCTACAAACCGCTGCTGGTGCAGCAACGAGGAAAGTGTAAATGCGAATGACGTTGTCAGTGAACATTCACACTTGAATATCTCCACAACCACAAGTCAAAAAGTAGTTCTGATTTCAGCTTATAACAGCGTGTAGTCTTAATATTTAGTCTGGTACCCCCTAGCTCTATGTACAGCAGAGATTTGGCGTGGCATTGAGTGAATGAGCTTCTTTATCAATGAATTGGGTATGGCTAACCATGCCTCCTTCAATCCCTCACAGAACCTGTTGAAGTGAGTGAATTGTGTTGATTGATCTTAAGAGCTATTGGCTAGAATTGATCGAGACTATATAGTAGAAGGGGATAGCAGTGAAGGGTTGGGGAAGCAAACCAAGCTAACCAAATGAGCTGGACCATCAGTGCAGCGGACCGTTAGCAAACACTGCAACGGACCGCTAGCAAACAGATGGCGATTGGTGGATATCTTCACTCCCTCTGACAGAACCTCTCCTACTCTTCAGCAGAGTCTCCTAAGTAGTCAAACTCTGGGTGAAGCTCATGAAGCTTCCGTTTTAGTGCCCACCACATGTGCTCAATAGGGTTAAGGTCTGGTGAGTAGGGAGAGGAGTCAACAGCCCAGATGCCATGATGTGAGAGAAAGTCTTGAGTGTAGTAAGAGGTGTGGACTCTTGCGTTGTCTTGCATGAACCTCTGGCCAGGTTGGTACTGAGGTAATAGACCTTCTTGAAGTGCAATACAGTAGCTCCTTGAGGAGTAGCCACCATGTGGTGAGGTTTGTGTCACTGATATATACTGTTCGGTTCCCAGTACCCATATCTATTGGGTTACTGTACCTTTTTGGTCGGTGTAGCTCAGGTGGGACCGAGCTGAGCCCTCACAGTGGAACCCATAGTTTGCAAAAAACGGAGAGACTGTAGTGCTCTCTGATTGTGCAGAGTTGAGCGCAAACTCCGCTAACGGCAGCCAATTATACCAGTCATCTTGCAGGTAGTTAACATACGCCCGTAGATACTGTTCTACGACCGTGTTGGTCCGTTCGGACTGTCCGTCAGTCTCAGGATGGAATGCCGTAGATAACGGGGTCTTGATCTTCAGTCTACAGTTCAGGTGTTTTCAGAATTTGGAGGTGAATTGCGGCCCTCTGTCAGATACTACAGAGTTTGGCAGGCCGTGAAGCTTCCAAACATGCTGTAGAAACAGGGTAGCAGCATCTTCTGCATTACAGGTTGTGTAGCAGGGGATCAGGTGCTTCATCTTTGTGAGGCGGTCAGTAATGGTCATAACAGCATCATAGCGGTGGCTCTTTGGTAGCTGTATTATGAAGTCAACTGTAACTTTTCTCCACGTGCGGTCAGGTATTGGTAGTGGCTTCAGTACTCCCTGGTACGCTTCTCTTGACGGTACCGCGCGGCAGCAGGTGTGGCAGTTGCAGAGCAAACGGGCAACGTAATTGTGCATGCAAGGCCAGTAATACTCCTGGGAGAGTAGTTCATAGGCCTTGCTGCGGCCTACGTGTCCTGCTACAGGGCTCTCATGGTAGTTACGGAGTAGTTGAGCCTTCAGTTCAGTGCAGTCCGGTACACACAGCCTTCCTCTATACCGTAGGTACCCATTTACTTCCTTGCATTTGGCAATTGTGTAACGGGGTCATGGTGCTGTAGTGAAGTAGGCTGTCACGTGTCGGGACGATGGCGCTAACCCATCGGGACGCTAGCGTGGTACGGACGAGAGCGCATAGATAATCGGGCACACAATGGCCAGGAAAACGGTAGCAATTAATATTATGGGACCACCCCCCATTGTTACTAAGCTCGCTGTCACAGATACCCTTACAAATTGTCAGGTACCTGTTCTTTCTGTTTCCCTCACGTAAGTCTGTAAGTACGGCATCAGGTATAGGGTCAAGGCTGTAGCCCTTCCGGAACATGTCTCTTATGTCAGGTAGCAGTGTAATTGTCTCATTTTCTGAGGGTAGCGGCTCTTCCTGTGAAGGTGGCTCTGTGTTTCTCTGGCTTCAGGTAACCACTGAAAGTTTATGTTTGCTAGCGGTCCATTGCAGTGTTTGCCAGCAGTCCGTTGCAGTGTCTACCAGCGGCCCATTGCAGTGTTTGCCAACGGCCCGCTGCACTGATTGTCCAGCTCATTTGGTTAGTCTGGTTTGCTTCCCCAACCCTTCACTGCTATTCCCTTCTACTATATAGTCTCAATCAATTCCAGCCAATAGCCCAGAACACCAATCAATACTCTCAACCCTTCCACAGTTTACGGTCCAGCTGCAGTTCTTGCGGAGGGGATCCCAGGTTTTTTGGCTTCAGTACGGTCTGACTCTGGTGTAGTAGCCTTTTATCCCCCTCCTTTGGCAGGTCTGCTGACCTCCGTGTCAGTGCATTGGGCTTACCACCTTGCGCTCCTGGCCGGTAAATAATTTGGAAGTTAAAGCAGGACAGAAATTCAGACCAGCGGGTCTGTCTGCGGTTCAGTAAGTTGGTTGACATGAAGTATTCCAGGTTATGGTGGCTCGATATTACTTGGATGGGTGACGTGCAGCCCTCTAGCTCTGGCCGCCACTCCTTAAAGCACCGTATAATGGCCAGTAGCTCTTTATTGTAGATCTCGTAGTTACACTCCATAACTGAGTGCCTCTTAGAGAAGAATGCTACAGGCCGTAAGATACCGTCATCTCCGTACTGGGACAGTACTCCTGCCAATACAAAGTCTGAGGCATCTGTTTCTACAACAACCTATTTCTCCCAGTCAAACAGTGCAAGTACAGGTGCTGTTGTAAACGCTGCTTTTAGGTGCATAAAGGCCCTGTTACACTTATCATCCCACCGAAACAGAATGCATTTCTGTGTAAGCATTGTTAGCGGGGCTACTAATAGCTGAGAACCCCTGGATAAAACGGCGGTAGAAGTTTGCAAATCCAATGAATGTCGGTACGTCCCGTACACAGGCATGGACTGGCCAGTTAACCACCGTTTCTACTTTTCTTTGGTCCATGCTGATCCCCTTACGACCTATTCTGAGGCCCAGGAACTGAGTTTTGGAGGTGAAAAGCTTGCATTTTTCCGGCTTTGCATGTAGGCCTGCCTCCTCTAGGCGGCTCAGCACAAGCCGTAAATGTTCCTTGTGTTCAGTACGGGTACGGCTGTAGATCAGGACATCATCCATGTAGACTGTACAGAAACGGTCGAGGTACTCCTGTAGATTATCGTTCATGTATCTCTGGAATGTAGCAGGGGCTTCAGTTAGTCCGAACAGCATCACCAGCGTCTCGTAAAGTCCGAAACGGGTCTGAAAGGCCGTAAGCCACTCCTGGCAGGCCTTCATACGGATGTTTTTGAATGCCCACAGTATATCAACCTTGAGATATACTGCACTCCCTTCAGGTTGTTCAGTAGCTCCTTGGTGAGCGGTAGCGAATATCGATCCTTCACAGTAACAGCATTCAATGCCCAATAATCTACACAGAAGTGGAGTTCACCATCCAATTTACGGACAAACAGGACAGGGGAACTAAATCTTTGCATTACCAGAGGAGCTACTGCTCCTCTTGTCTTCCATAGTCTTAGACTCAGATAGGACGTTAAACCAATCAATCAATCAATCAATCAAT